TGATCGAAACTTGTATTTAATGGCCATTTTATTTGCTTTTTAAAGTCTCGGGTAATAATTTAGTTATGTTTTTATAGGGTTTTCATAGCAATAATTTTTATGCTGACCCATTTGAAAATGTGTCGAAGGTTGTCATATTTTGATTTATTTCGAAATAAAAAAATCTTAATAGTTCTTATTTATTCTGATTTTTTAGGAACTCTACTGAGAGTTTAAAACTAATCTACCTGAAGAGAAGTTCGTTCCGATATAGTTTAAAAAAAGCTATACCAAATTCACTCTAAAGCCTGACAAAAAATAAATAAAAATGTCGTATCAGCATGAAGATTTAGTTGCAAGATTGAGAACAATATTCATCAGTCAAGAGATAACTGCTACCACGCTCATGAACAATGTTCATCAGTTAAGAGATAACTGCTCCAGGCTCAGGAACAATGTTCATCAGTTAGAGATAACTGCTCCATGCTCAGGAACAATGTTCATCAGTTAAGAGATAACTGCTACCACGCTCATGAACAATATTCATCAGTCAAGAGATAACTGCTCCATGCTCAGGAACAATGTTCATCAGTTAAGAGATAACTTCTTCACGCGCAGGAACAATGTTCATCAGTTAAAGAGATAACTGCTACCACGCTAATGAACAATATTAATCAGTTAAGAGATACTGCTTCACGCGCAGAAACAATGTTCATTAGTCAAGAGATAACTGCTTCACGCTCATGAACAATGTTCATCAGTTAAAAGATAACTGCTTCACGCTCATGAACAATGTTCATCAGTTGAAAGATAACTGCTCCATGCTCAGGAACAATGTTCGTCAGCTGAAAGATGACTGCTTCACACGTGAGAACAAAACTTGTACGAGTTTCAGGTTCGTTGACATTCGTAGGTACATCTTAGCGTCGCGGTCAGCGGGAATTTTGTCATACTCGCTTAACTTCGGGGAAAATCAAAATAGGAGTAGTCGCTGTGACGATATGCGTAAGTTAAAAATCAAGCTTCCTGTTTACACAGATCGAAATTCAATCAAGGTAATCAATCGCAACAACAAAATGTGTGATTAGAGTTTGCTGTCGTCACTCGTGAGACCTCACTTCCATCAATTACTGGTCAGATTAGATGGTTCGCACGCGTGATCACAGATGACTTCAGATCGTAGTTTCCACTCAACGGCCCTCAAATCATACCTTGGTGACGTCGCAGTTCGAGGTTGAACGGTACGCCTGTGCTGATGCTTTCCACTCGTCCGGATAAAATGCATCAGTGAACTTTGAAACTAAGAGTTACAGCCAAACACAATCCTTATTTCTATGCCTCATGTATTTTGCATCTGAACACAGTAACCTCAAAAGCAAGTCGCCTGAATCAATTTCTTTCACAGAAGTTGACCATCCATCAATCTCTGGAACAACGTCTCAAGTCGATGAGCCGTATCGTTAGACACTTACAAGGAAGCAGCAGCATGCACCGAACACAACATTCTTTGAGCTTCCGAGAATCGGAAAAGTTTAGCAAAAATTAATACCCAAAGAGAGACATTTCTGCGCAGTTACAAGTTATATCTAATATTTTGACTCTTTTTCACTTATATGAACATTGTAAAATGCACAGCAAACATGAGATATAGGTAGTCTAAGTGCTATTCGAGGGTTATATTTTTAGTTACCATCATAAAATGAGCAATACTCGAATAACGTAGCATTGTTTGAACATATTCTATTCATGCTTTCAGGGTTCAACAATATAAGTCTTGATTTTTACGAAGTCATGTTCAACCTCTTCTAAAATCTGAATTGAATGACTGTGCATTCAATGGAATAATTTTCTCACGTCCCAGTTTTGTGATACGAGAGGTAAATGCTGTGTGCATTTAGTAGATTACAACGCGTTATTATATACATATCAAATTGCTGTCCTGCAGCATCGTGGCAGTAACGATGTTGAAGGTGTGCAGTTGTTTTCTTGCCGCCAAACCACCCAATTGTTTCACCAGCATGATTGCAATGAAGGATGAGGTTAAGAACTGATTTATTATAGGATAAATCGCCGATAGCTTACGTGGAAAGCGTCCTTTCGATTGTAGGCTGATGGTAATTCTCTAAATAACTCAATGGATAACAGTCTTGATCTCATAAATGATAGAAAATGACAGCGAAATTTTGACAACTCTAATCAATAGGCGCATGTTTGGACTGCGGAAAATGAGTAAAGTGCACGGTTTTATTTCAACGGAAAACCAGTTTCAATTCAAATCCTACATTTCGTTGGAGCTGATTTTAATTCAGCTTATTGCATGACAAGTTGGATGGTATACGAGTAGGAGTTTGTTATTCATGATCATTATGAAAATAAAAGGAGGGCTTTAGGAACATAAATGCAAAATAAATGAATCATTTTATAAGTCTGAAATGCATATTCTCTAAAACACCAGATTAATTGTAGAATTTAAAACAAAATCCGGTTCGCAAATTAGGCTCCTAAGTTGATGAATTCAAGTGAAACAATGGAAGATATATACGGCGTCCTTTAAGTACGTTCTGGAACATTGTCTGCTTGACTATTATATTCGCTTCATTTTACTTCATCGCAGGTCATCAAAAGGCTTCTGAAACCAAATAACATAACATAACATATTGATCTCGGCGCTGAAGTGTAGGCCTGATGCGGCCTGTCGCCGATTCTTTTCCTTTTCGTGCCTTGTTCATAGAAGATCTAAAATCGTGTCATTTGACCGGATCTTTTCATGACTGGCGATAGTTTGAAGTAGCTACTAGACTTCCACCGAGTTCGATAAGGTGCTAGGCATTTCATGTCTGAACATATATTTTTTCATTGCGTTATCTAGTCTGTTTTTGAACGCATTCATATTTGGATAGATAGATCTTTCAAACGAAGAAAAATATCGCTCAGTGGAATGTCAGCCTTGTAAAAAATTCGTTAACTTGTTTTCGCTTGTTTTGCGTTAACTTGTCAAGGCCCAGATTGCCTTGGCTGCCATCAAAGTAATGAAAGAGCAGTTCATCAAAAGCCAAGTGAGGCGTTACAGGAAGCTGAGGCGTGTGAGGGCATGGAGGTCTCAGCGCCTGAACCCGACACTGTCGAGTTCTGCGGCTTCACATCAGTATAATACGCGGCCAGTTTACTGGTTGTCCATATTTTAAAATTGCCTGCTAACGGCAAGTATAATAATATTTAAAACGTCGTGATAACGCCTGATAACTGCTAATATAACAACAAATAATAATATATACTGAATATACAATATAACGAAAACAAGCCTCTGATCATGATGCAGCAAAAGCTGAACACACAAAGTCAAAGACAAGCAGTCGCCAACCCCACACTTGGACTCAGACGAGGCAGACACTCACTGCAGTGAGTACTGAGTTATATTTTTTCCAACAGTGTAGGTACTCACCGGCCGCCGTCTCAGGAACAGCGCGTAGGGAGGGACGTCTTGGTTCTGATCGCTCGTGGTGGCGCGAGCCTTGCGACGCTTCTTCTCAGGGTCCTTTGTGAAAATGTTCAACTTCAAATTTTATGATGTAGTTTATGGGATAAGTTTTCATGCTGAATAAGATAGTTTTATATATATTTACTGGCTACAGAATTAAAGTTTCTGTCTATTTTTTTTTTTTGCAGTTTATTTCATTTGTTAAATAGAAACCAACTTTGTCGATCAAAATACGACTATAAAATAGAACCTTTCGTACAGCCACATCACTTTTTTTCTGCAACAAATTGCAGCAATTGAGATCAAATTGTTGAATTTGATCTCCTCCAATATATTACAAACAAACTTCAATTCAGTCGGTTGGCTCGATGGTGTCTGTCACAACTACCACTTTCATACCACTTTCAGAAAGTAAACATTCACATTACTTCATAAATGAATTAATGTAATGAATTATTAAAATTTTCAAAACCATTCATGATATACTGACTTTATTCAGCAGTCGAGCGAGGCGTCTGTAGGGGCCACTGTACGGCACGCACGGCCCCCCCGCTACGCCTGCCCAGAACTTCACCGTCATCGTCCATCGAATTATTCATATCGCTTTAATATTTTATATTTAATTATTGTGTCATTAATTATTGTTTCTTTAATCATTATACCTTTAATTGTTGTATCTTTAATTAGTGTGTCTTTAATTATTGTATATTTAATTATTATATTTTTAATTATTGTGTCTTTAATTAATGTATCTTTGGTTATTGTATTTTTAATTATTGTGTCTTTAATTATTGTATCTTTAGTTATTGTGTCTTTAATTATTATATCTTTAATTGTTGTATCTTTAATCATCGTATCTTTCTTTCATATTATGAAGTCATTATTGATGGTAAGCCACGTCTAAAATAATTCCCGCGGTATCAATAGGCAGTAATAATTCTCATTTTACTTCTGTGCAAAGCAATAGTAGCGATTTGAACCACCCTTTTGGGGAGCAAGTGTTGTCTATGCTTCAAATATATTGCTAACATTCTTCATCCGGTACACAAACTTATTCGAATGTTGCACTTTCTAAAGGAAGAACACACAAAACCTCGCTTATCTTTTACTCGAATTGCGGTGATTTGTAAGCTTCTCTCATAAGTGCGTCCAATTACTTATTTATCTGCTTTAATTTCCATCTGCAGAATATGATTATTTCAGTCTGCAGAATATGATTATTTCAGTCTGCAGAATATGATTATTTCCATCTACAGAATACGATTATTTCACCTGCTAAATGTTTCGTATCAATGGCCGTAAAGTTTCAATACAAAGTTCTGGTGTGTTGACATACAGAGGATGAAAATGAGGAAGAAATTTCTGTCAATTAAATTCAGTCTCAGAGTTCTCAGTGGCAGGCCTTGTGGAATTTTCGTATGTCTATAAAATATTTTGCTTGCTGTAATTTAAAGTCTTAAAAATTGAAATATTTGGCTGATAACATTTTTACTTACAAATAGGATTGCTAACATTTCTATGAACAATTATTTCAAGTGGCTATTTGTTTACTGTTTGTCGGCTGTAGAAATTATAATTAATAATCATGAAGCAAAAACATATTGAGTCAATTAGCTATTGAAATGAAGATTTTTATGAATATAAAAATTAGGACGCGATCTTGCAGGGTTAACGGTACGAATCATGGCTCTCGAAATATTTTCCACGCGTATATTTCTTCGTAGTTCTCTCTGAAATGCGCGTAATTCTGTATTTTAATCTTGAAACACTTGAATTCGACGCACGAAATCTTTCGTTCACCATGATGAACGAAAGAAATCTTGATGATGAACGCACGAAATCTTTCGTTCATCAAGTCCACGTGACAACTCTAAAACAGCTTCAGATTTAAGTCTATTCGCTGACAGAGTTGCTGCAGTAGTCGAGGAGTGGCAATCATTGCTGCAAAATAGACCTTTGGCTGCGAGGTCAGGGACATGTAAGGTCATCTCGCGGATATGCGATGCTCCACATGCCTCTGAGCGACGATGGCTGGCAATGAATTAAGGGTCTACGGCATTTAAATGAATTTCAATATACTGAGACCATTCATAGTGATTATCGTTGTGTTTGTTCAGAAAACTGATTTGCAGTTTGCAGCTGGAAAAATAATATAATTCATTAACACAATACACGTTCATGGAAAATTTTCCTGAGACTTTCCAACTCTCTCTTAACAAATGATCTCAGGCTATGGGGCTAGACTAAATAATTTCAAGCATAAACCGTCGCAAGAGGTCAGCAGTTTTATTGATTCTATCATGTCGTGCAATTTTATTATCTGAAATTTTGGCTTACTTGGAACCATATCTTTCAATTGATTCCAATTGATTTGACCATCACAGGTCTCAGTTTAGTGCCGATGCAATTGATTGGAGTTCGCTACATAATTAAAATTGAAATGTGCATGTTGTATAACAGTTCAAGTCTTGATTTTTTATCCGAGTAAAACGGTGAACAAATAGCAAAAAAAATAATAATTATCCCGAAACAAAAAAATAATAATTTTTGCAAAACAAAAAATTAAAAATTTTACGCAGCAATTCATCAACGAGTACGTAGTTACATTACTTTGCAGTAATGTTAAAATTTAAATATAACAATAGACCCCATAACCAAAATGCGTTAAACATAAACAATTCTATTGTCATAATCAATTTGTCATCAATTCCAAGTTCCATTGTCATTAATTGTTGAGTTTTTAGCAATATTACTCACGTTGGGGCTTGGAGAGGCCAACATCCGAGGCAACGGTTGGTTTAGATCCGCCCTCGGCTCCCTAGGACAAGACGTGGTAGTAGCAATCAATTTAATTATTATCCTTTAATTAGAGATCAAAAGAGCATCAGGACATGGAGCTTGAGCCCTACAGTTTGCTGGGAGACATTTTAATGAGAATCTTATATTCTGGTTCATTTATTGATTGATAAAAACTAATGTTCGATTATAATTGTTTAATTTCATAACTAAGAGCTTTAAGGATAGATTAGGAATTTAAAATATATTTTAAAATTTCATTGCAGTCAGACTGCGTAAAATATTAAAGAACACAATCATATTAATTTTCCCCCATTAATTTAGCATAAGTATAAGAAAGATATATAACCTTACATTTATTAAAAAAACAAGATAACGGAAATGTTATGTTAAACAAAGTAAGATTGACTTCATTGAGTAATTTGAATAATATCAATCACGCAGGACTCGCAGGGTACACGCAGGGATTTTATTGCGCGTTTGCTCTAATTATTTACGTACAAATATTATTGAGCGTATTACATATTATTGAGAATATTGTTGCTGGTTGATTACATTGCTTGTCAATATTTTTGCTCGTAACAAATCACGAACGCTGCTTCTTCGTGATTCAAGCCGATGGGACTTTTCAGGGTTTTCTTTTTTTTTTCAGCATTGGCGCATGAAAAGTTCAACGAAAAACCGTACGCAAAATCATTGATCCAATACGACAAATCTCATGATTATGATGCAGTTATTCTATAGTGAACTACTTGTTTTTATTTAATGCTAAGAACACAAGGCCGGTATCATACTTTACAGAGCTTGAATCCTCTGAAGGCGAGATGACCCGTGAGTTTGGACGACGGTCGTTTGGAAGCTGGTGGAGATGCCACAGATATAGGGTTAAATGCATTATATGTTTTAGAAAACAATGTCATAATAACTTAGGACACATCACCGCTATTACAGTGGGATTATGCAATAAAATTCTTTAGCTGACCACATTTGAGGTCAGGCTTCCTAACTTACTTGTAACCTGACTTGTAATTTTACCTGGTCTCACAATGATAAGCGACTCATACGCACTGTTTACAATAGAGTAGTCTACATCATAGCCAGAAATGATATAAGGTAATGTTTCAATTTGAATTACATCTTCCGAAATTAAGGCAGAATTTTAATATAAAGGTAATTTTTGACATTGACGGAATATTAACCATCATGGAGGCAATTTTCAAACTCATAACACTTGGGCTTGATATTGCCTTTGTTATTAATAGCTCGTCAAATTCATGTCAATACGAATGAGTTGAGAGGGGATGTGCAGACAATCACACTCACTAACCCATTTTGGGCTGCGGTGGAGGCCGCAACACGTCTTGCAACACGTCTTCGGCAGCTGAGTCGCTGTCAGCGAAGTCGCCGCCGTGGTCGCTGGTGCACTCGATCTCCATGACGTGTATCGTCTCTCCTGACGTCGTCGTCTGCTTGGTCTTCCTCTGCTTCGATCGAGCAGGTCGCACCGGTGGAGTCTTGCCTTGACGTTGAGACGCTCTGATCATGAGATACTTTCTGTTAATCGATAATTGAAACTTTTTTCCTTCTTAGCGCATTTTCTCATTCATGGAAAAAATGCACAATTGTGCTCGTCATGTCCGCTCGTCCGTCTGTCTGTCCGTCTGTGACTTCACGTTTTCGTCGACGAAAAAATGCGCTCTCTGTCACTCACTGCAGTGAGTACTGAGTTATATATTTTTTTCATTTTATTAAAACATAGAAACAGTTGTTGTGATGATGGACTGTTTGGTGACCAGTGGCAACACTATAACCGCATCTGAAAACCATATATATCGGATGTCAGGACAATGTTCTTTATTAAATGTGAAGCCACTAGCAGTGACTTGTGCAACACTGCGCACACACCAGCTGTATATAGGCTTCTAATTTATTACTTTTATATAAAATCCTTCATTTCAACAAACATTCTGTTATAATTTGAGGATTTATATTTGTTCTGATTAAACTTCGTTATCGAGTCATATATTCACATGGAATGTATTTCTGTTTCGCAGATTTTGAGTACTACTTAATTTTTAGAAGAAAATACATCCTCGTTACACATGAACACTTGATTGAAGTAAGACAAATTGAAGAATGTCTTGCAAATGTTTAATAGCGTGCTATGTGAGAATATTGAGAGATATTCAATATATCATTCATTTTTAATCATAAGTTAATTCGTAGTAATTCCTGGTTTCAGCTTGGGAATGAAAACGCCGACCAGAGTAAGATTACTTCACCCTCAAACATTTCAGCCCACATGCATAAACCTTGATCAACGTGGATCCAAAAACAGGGAAACTTCTTCAGAATTCAAAACGATTTCTTCCTCGACCTAAAATGTAACTTTTTCCTCATTTAGAAACAATTTCCATCGAAACCGACGACACTTTTAAGCGCATTTTCTCATTTATGGAAAAAATGCACTACTGTGCTCGCCATGTCCGTCTGTCTGTCTGTCTGTCCGTCCGTCCGTGACCTCAAGTTTTCGTCGACGAGAAATTGCGCTCTCTGTCACTCACTGCAGTGAGTACCGAGTTATATTTTTTTTATCACAGTGAAGTTCTAAGCTTACCTCGGTTGGTCACATGTGGCACTAACGGCGCCCTGCCCTGCACGGTTGACGTCAGGCGTGGCCCGCCCCACGTCGGGCAGCGGGAAGGAGCCCCTGGACTCGTCCCTGAAGAAGGCCTTGTTCCTCCTGAGCGTGGCGCGCGTCCAGTCCGTGTCGCAGATGGGGGACATGCCTGGGGGCGTTAGCAATACTGGAGAGCCATGCCGGAATATTGATAGATCATTTCAAATTAAATGGTGTTCACTTAAGTTGAACTTCATAATTGCATTTTATACCATAATTGGATCCCATAATTGATACCATTCTACTAAATGCCTGGCGGCGCGGGGCGTTAGCAATACTCGTGAGCCATATCGGAATATTGATAGAATGTCAATTTAAATGAATTGGTGTTCACCTAAGTTTAACTACATAATAATTATCTTATTACTTAAGGTAGTCGTTTAAACGACTCATTTTAACGATGAAAAGAAATTCCCTATACCACTTACGGAACGATGACTAAACAAATGTGATTCTTTTCTTCGTAGAAAATTTATATTTTTTCCTATGCTATATAACCAGCAAATGCCACCATTGATGTTAAGAACTTCTTCCAACAACTTTCATAAAAATGCTTTCAATCAAATAATTGGGGCTTGATTTCAATTGATTTCTATTAAATAATTGATGATTTTTTTAATATGAATACATTTATTTTGCTTGATCAACTAGAGCCTTAGAGGTCATACTTTGTATGAGTAAAACATTCGCAAAACAAGAAATGACTTTATTTTGAGAAAACGTAAGTTAAACTTGCACCACTTTGTGAACTTTTAAGCATAAGCTTATTAGCATTGGTCTCATTAATATGCTTGAATCACAACTTCACCAAGAACTCAAAAGTAAAGAATACTCCAAGTAAATTCACTATATCTCCATTTGAAGCGTTTCGGAGGCCAGCTCCAGCATCAGACAAGTTGAATCATGAGAGGAAAACCAAATTCCCACAAACGTGGATGAAACCCAAGTGACCAAAACGGGCAAGGCAAGACTACACTGTAGCAGCATCTGATGTTCCGGGTTTAAAAAAAAGGGATGACATATCCTGTATTCGCTTTCCAAACGACAGTCGCTTGGATAGTGAATACACGTCTACAGAATTTTCATCTATTTCATGTATAGGATTGACGTATTTATCAGCCCTATTAACCGCTTACTGATCCATTCGAAAGCTCGAGGTCACTACTACCATATCAATTGATATTAACTAGTTTCAATAATCACCGGAAAATTATTTGTATACAAATCATTGGAATACACCTACCTAACCTAGCCTATGGAATACCAATAAGCTCAGGCAGATAATATTCAAGATTAAGAAGTATTAATTTATTTTTTTTTTATCTTCGGACGATTCGTCGTTGGGATATTTATAAGTGATGCAAGCAAATTCGATTGAATCAAGGACGAAATTGAAATAATTCCGCATTATTTTACGTTACTTGCACCGATAATTACCCTCGACCAGACTGACTCCAATTGTAGACAAAATTGGATCAGACTTGCATCAAGATGTAATTCACTATATCTCTTTAAATTAAATAAAACCCATGAATGCACTGGTTCTAAATGGTCTCGTTAGCTTACCAGTTGTTCGTTTCCATTCATAAATGTCTATGTCTTCGGATGATATGAAACCAAGCCGCATATTTTCTTCAAAATTATTATTTATCAGGAAGTTTTCGATGTCATCTGACGTCCAGATGGCAGCATTCACCGGAACTGAATGCGCTTGAACTGAATTCTCCTCAGCAAGTGCCGCCTCAGCCATCGTCTCGGTCCGGTTCATTTCGCTATTTTTGACAAACTTATCTTCGTTACACCCGTTAATTCTGGCACCGTCTGAACTCGATTCTTCTTCCATTCTGTAATCGTAATCTGGTGCATAGCCTTCGAATGTGTGTGCATTCAATCGAATCGTAGGAAGTGCCATTCGAGTCGGAACAGCCCCCGCTTGGTCCGTTAAACTGCCTGAAGTCGTCAATTCGTTCGTTTCTTTTCGAAGTGGTGCATTTTCTGATCTTGAGACGCAGGGTGGCAGGTGTGTTTCTGACGAGTCAAATACTTCAGAAAGCAGGCAGTAAGAGAAAGGAGACATAAAAGAGCAATCTTTTTGCGAGAAACTAACAACGTCTTCATCTTTTTCAAAATTCACCACATCGTTTGATGACCGCGTTGTTGTCGTCTTCTCATTCACACGTCGATCAGACTGGGTTAATTCTATCCCTGGATACGACGGTTGTTTTATATGCGTCTCTTTAGTTTCAGAATCACTATTAGGGTCATGGGCAAAATTTCCGGATATCATGTCATGGGATGAGATGAGAATATCAGCGAATCTAGTGGTAGCGTAGATTTCTTCAGGCGTATTTGGTTCACTTGGAGAACTGATTCGTTTAATCAATTCTTCGTTTGGGACTGTCGAAGCAGTGAGAACTTTGCTTGTGGTCGATTTTACGGCAAAATCTGACGAGGCTTGTGTAATATTTCTCGTCTTTACCTCATTTTCGGGATCTGAAATTTGAACAATTGATAAATTTGATTCTTTTGGAGCATGAGCTTCGACTTTGGGTTGTCGTTTGCTTTCAGGGTTGTCTGGGCAATCAGAGGCCCGTCGAGAGTCCAAGCACCATTTGAAATCCTCATCAGCTTCGTAATCTGCGGAAGAAATCGGGCTACTAGTAGTCATGTAAACTCCCAAGGTAGGAAAGTAGATAGAACTGCCATTACTTCGCAACTTATTTCTTTGGAGCACGTTTGAATTATCTGGCAATTTGTCAAGCAGTGGACCACCATGTCTTGTCGAAACCACCAAGCTGGGATCTCCAGTAATGGAGACCATTTCAGAGCACTTACTATCGGTCGAGCTGGAGCTAGAGATGCGGAATTGCACATTCGCTTCTACTTTTGGAACAGTTTCGCGGCTTCGTAGAATTTCATTAAAGGCTTTTTCTTCTTCTGAATTATTGAGACAGTTTTCAAAGAAACTCGTAAAATACTCTTGAAATTCTTGAAAATCATACGTTTTGGGGTCATGGGCTAGATCTTGCTGCTGATCGTCCGATACACTGTCAATTGATGAAAACGTTACCCAGGTCGGACTTGTGATTGTTTCTGTCGCCTTATGCTCATCTTCAATTGATTTTTTCGTGCTATTAAATGACGTTAAGTTGTTAGGACCTTTGTCATCCAACTCAATGTATTCATGAGCCTCATTTTTTGGTGTGAGAGCTATTTCCTTCGTTGAAACCCCTTCTATGTGGAGTCGATGTGTAAAGCTATCGGTAAGAAAGCGAGGCAAAGAACTATTTGACGCGTCCGATTTCATCTCATCTTCACCGGTGCTGGTAATTTGAAACAAGTTCGGATTGGAGGCCGTTTTTTTAATAGGGCGTAATGCCTTGGGAGAACATGGCTCAGACTCACATTGCGTTACTGTAACAAAAGCTGAGAACTCGTCACTCTGCTGATGCCAGTCGTTGGTTTCGTTCTCTACGCTGTAGACAGGAACGTATGATGCCTCGGTCAGAGCGTTCAAAGAAGGTAGGCTGGTCTTCCTTACTAGGGGATTAGCAACAGAATCTCGGCAAATTTCCAGTTGAGTAACTGACGTATCATTTATCGCTCCTTTTTGAAACTCTTTAATCGTGTCTTGACAATCGTCCAATGGTTCGCCCATAATATTCGTGCATCCTTTAAATATTTTAGTTTTCGTAATAACGTCTGGCGCCTGCAACGCTTCATCTGGCGTCATTTCGTCTGCCTCCGGTGACGCATTCCCAGGCTCAGACGCCGGCGACGCATCCTCTTTTGCTGGTGACGCATCCTCTGGTGCTGGCGACGCATCCTCTTTTGCTGGTGACACGTCCTCTGGTGCTGGCAACGCATCCTCTGGTGCTGGTGACGCATCCTCTGGTGCTGGCAACGCATCCTCTGGTGCTGGCGACACATCCTCTAGTGCTGGCAACGTATCCTCTGGTGCTGGTGACGCATCCTCTGGTGCTGGCAACGCATCCTCTGGTGCTGGTGACGCGTCCTCTGGTGCTGGCGACGCGTCCTCTGGTGCTGGCGACACATCCTCTGGTGCTGGCAACACATCCTCTGGTGCTGGCAACGCATCCTCTGGTGGTGGCAACGCATCCTCTGATGCTGGCAACGCATCCTCTGGTGCTGGCAACACATCCTCTGGTGCTGGCAACGCATCCTCTGGTGCTGGTGACGCATCCTTTGACTTTGGCAACGCCTCTGCTGGCTCCGGCAACGGAGGCACCGACATTTGCTCTGCGATCTTTTCGACTTTAATTCCCAAGTTTGGCAATGGCGAGCGTGAGCGAACGAAGTCGTCGAAAATAAATTCATCCATCGTTGTTTACGATGTTATAATTAGGTTGTAAAAACTTGTATTGAAAAAAAAAATCGTGTCTCTAGAAGAAATCGGAAACTGCCATAGTATATTTGGTTAATTTTATCAGGAAATTCGAATTTTATGATAAACGAAACTCTACTCATTTATTTTACTGATGATAAATGGAGCACAAATTCAATTCTATCGACTTGGAACAGTTATTAGATTTTTAACTGCGCATTTTAATGCAAGATCGATCTTGAATTCAGTTTTGGTGATGCCTTTGACTTGAATGTTAGCTACATTAAAAGCTGGGGTCCATCTTGTCGCAAAATTGGCATTCCGATCTCGCGCTGAGCTACTGAAAAGCCGATGCCACTTCTCTTCTTGGAGCTGTGGTTAATTCAATTCAGACTATAAACTAAATTCGTAAATAAATGACCCAAAGACGCAGATTTCCGAAAACCTAACTATCACTTGACTGTGCACTCAACAAGTCCCCTCCCCTTCATCTAAGGCCATAAGTAGCCAAATTACTCCAGCGACGTCGAAGAGAGTAATCATGGGGGCCGTTATCTGCAAGACTTGCTCTTAATTGATGTCAAGAAAGGTTATTTGATGACAATACGAATACAGTTGCCTCTCCAGACCTTAACAAGCTTAACCGATATTCAGTTGAAAGGTTTGCATAGCCGTTGAACTCCTAATGAGCAGATTCTTCAGTGCCGACACTTCTATTCTATTCTATTCTATCTCAATGGCATGAAAGAAAATTCGGAAATTTTATGAACTTCAGATTCGCTATGTTAATTTATAGTGAACAAAATAATAAGGGTATAAAATTTACTAACAAGATATGGACATTTTATATTGTTTACATAAAATTATTACATATTGTTACATATTGTTTATATTGTTTACATAATATGGACATTTTTTCCATTTCCATTGTTAATTATCAGGCCGTGCAACTCGAGTGTTCGCAGAAGCATCTCGTGCTGTTCAGTGCCCATCAGCACGTGACACATGCAACTTCCGGCGCAACATCTGCCGATACTGCGGCCGCTGCTCCTCTTAGTCAAGCTGTTAACGGAAGGATACGATGTTGCTTCTCCTGACACTGCCATGGCACAAGCGCACTGCATGCGACCGGACAGGTGCACACACATTTTCTCCGCCAGGACGTACCCGCAATCTCCATTCTTCAACGCGAGTGGCACAAGAAAGCCATCGAGATCAATTTCTGAAGCAGGCCTACTAGCCTCAGAGCTTTTAGGTCTGGTAGGAATAAAAATTCGTTTCGTCTAGCTCGACGCAAGTTCTGTCTGTACCTTACGATGATTTCGACCGGTGCGCGCTGCTTTGAGAAAAAATTTTAGTGGCGTCAAAAGGATTGTAAAAAATTTTAGTGGCGTTTGAGGACTCTCTAGTTTTAGTCTTGACTGATCCAGAAGACTTTCCAGCAACCAATTAACGTGTTTCCTCGGCCACTTTCGCTATGGCTCGACCAAAGTTTCCTCGAGGCTGGCTGGAGAGTAACATCATTTTCCTTCGCTCCAATTATCTCCGATGCATAGAAATCATTGACGAAAGTGATTTACCTGAAGATCGATCTGGTTGAGATTGAGACCTCAAGTGCGGGTGTGAAGCTGCTCTACTTATTGACCCCGACTCCCTGATACGGCGGTCAAAGGAAGGACTCTAGACAGTGCTGTCGGCAAACGTTACAGTTTTGCGTCCCGACGACTTGGTTGATCGATCTTATTCGCTCTCGTTTGTAGTCGAGTGTGAACTCTATTGTCTTTCAGGATTTTACCGCCCAAAAATCTACTGCTGTACAGGTTTTGGCTCTACCTGCGTAATTCCGTTAGTATGCGTCCCATGAAGCTGGTCATCATGAACTGTATCTTCGATTTCTTCCACTTGTATATTGTAAGGAATCCACTTGATTTATCTCTCGTTGGAGCGTGCTTACGTTTCTCCAGATGCTTGGATCGTTTTCTTATGAAAACCCGTCAGTTGAGACTTCGTTCGGTAATTGAAATGATGGTGACCGCGCTCGGTTTACCCAGTCAAATCTGTTCGCTCGTTGGATGGCTTTTCTGGCATGGGTCTTAGCTGCTCCGCGGGGCGCAGCTTTGTTGAAACATTCTGGCTGTTCGTTTCTGGAGGCGGGAAATACTTTTCAGAAGATCTCCGCGATCTATCACCTTCATCTGGCGGGGTCAGACACACACAGCCATGTTGACAGCGAGGAAGGTACGGGGGCTCGGTTCGCTGGTCGAAATTCCCTTTGCCCTCCAGACAGGAATGCTTATGATGATGCATCGTCGAATTTCCAGATTGAAGTCACATCAAAAAGTTATTCGATGGATGAGATACATGAGGGCGAAAAGCGTAACGTGGATACGGTTCTTCAGATCACAGATGTGCAAGCAATTAGTTTCAGAAGTCATTTTTACTCGTAATGTGACACCGAGGCGGCGAAATTCAGCTCACTGCAATTGCAAAAGACGAACCTTTCAATGATCGGGTCAACCCGTAAATCAAATATTACTCTATACATATATTACAACCCCATCCTGGAAATACATGACGGTTCCATTATATTCGCAAACTGTGTTAATTGGAAAAATGCAAATATACGAAAAAGAACCTGGAAGGAATGGATTAAGGAAGAAATATCGCAACAAATTACCTCGGAAAAAATATCGCAACCAGTTCCCTCGGAAAGAATAACAAAACGTTGTCATAGGGGAAGAGAACAGTTCTAATCATGCAACTTCGGTGCACGATTTCGTTTTTACCTGGCAGCACTGAAAAATACATACCGTCACGATAATAAGATAACGTAAACGCTATAAAAATGACTTCTTACAAACTGACTTGCTATGTACCGTAGAAACGTGACGTAGACATTATGTACTGTAGCAATAAAGAAAAGGCTCTGCTTTTTCTATACAATGACAAGTTTGTGGCTGTTTCTTTGACATTATTCTCCAATTTCGGACGGTTGCTATGAACATACATCAGTTCAATATGTTCAAACCCACCGTCATAGGAATAAACTTGGAATTTTAGAGAATCCTTGACACTCCTGGTGAACAAAAAAATAATATTCGTTAAATCCTGATTAAGAATAGCTCGTTGTTGATATAGCCAGCAGAGTGGTACAGCCCCACTAAACAAATTAACCGTCCGCTCCTTGTCAAGAAAATCGACCAAAAAAATCATTACTTCCATCTTCCCGCAAATATACTAGCAAATTGCGCGATCTGACGTTAACTGTGAATATATTTTCCAAGAACGACTCGACAAAACCTTCCGAGAAGCTCGAGAAAGCCTCTCAAAACATTGAACTTGAAATAAGTCAACCGACCAACGATCATTTTCAAATCAATGTCACATTCAAAAATGGTTTGACGAACTCGACAATTTAAATCTGCCTGTCAAGCACAGACGCATGAAAAAAATCTCAATAAGCAGCAGAGCGTCTGAGCATCAGTTAACTCAGATGTAAACTCATGAAAGTGACAGAGCTAAGAGATAACAAGCCATAAGCGGAATTATATACATAATCAAAATAAAGAAGCATTATCGGTACAACAATTAACATCTGTAGTACAGGTACAAGTAACCAACGTTTCTCAATTCAACAATTTAAAACCTCGGATGATTTTCTAAGTAAATGATTTCTTCAATTAATTTACCTACAAAAATTAAGCCAATAGCTACAAAATTCCAAACACGCTTCAAGGAAAATAAAATGTTCGTAAGTGGACAGGTGACTTGCTCAATAATTGAATTTAGGACAAAATGCGATATTAATCAGTAAAATTACAATAATTGCAGAACACCGAATATTCTTGAATCCAATCAAAGCAATCCTGAACCACGCTCAGAATGGCGAGATAGTTTGATTTTTTCTCCCGAGAAATTGGCAATTGAACATTCCATTCAAACCAATTAACTGCCAAGAAGAATAATTTTGTCCTAAAAATGGAAACCTGATTCACAAGACAACAATATCTCAGTAGAGAGAATTTACTACTGACTTGAAATAGATACAATTTTAGAGCACAATCATGTTTTACGTGCATTCCAACTTAAATTACTTATAGGTATATATTTGTAAGGATATATAAGTCCTCAGAAGCGTTCTTAAACATACGTTAAAGCTACGGACACATTAAATACTCCTACCAGTCAGAAAATTTTGATGTAAATTTGTTGCCGTCAAAATATGGCAACTCGTGGTGACAAACGAAATTTCCAGAAGAGACTTTTACTGCTGGAGTGGCTCTAGAATTCCTTTAAAAAAAATCAGAAGTAAATATAATGAATTAATTAAGTCTACAAATTTCATCCCACAAACGTAAATCTTTTCAAATAAAACAAATTCATTTCAAGAAGGAATGCAATTCCCTGTATTAAAATTTAAATTAAATCACAATATAATTTGCTCTATTTTGCTGCATGACGCCGCAGTAGCGCAACTCATGTGTTAACAATAAGCTGTGTTAACAATGAGCTGAAGAATAAATATGAAATTCATTACTTGATTGTGAAGTACCATAAACGAACCCATCAAAATCAAATAGTTGAGTTAAGCTAAATGTACAAAAAAATTTCAGCAACTTGAGCTGCTAATGGTGGAGGCAAGTAAAAAAATTATAAATCTGATAAAACACATTCAGAAGTTGTAACATTTACCAAATTCTGTAGTAAGAAACCGATCAATCAAGAACCACGTTGCATTTTAGTCACTCAGCCACTACGAAATGACAACTAATCAGACGCACGTATGCTTTCAAAATAAACGGAGAATTGAATACTTTAAATTGACAACAAACATTTGGGAAGAATAATTCTAAATAAAGAATTAGCCGTTTTGCTTCCATTTTCAGCAAACAAATATTGATCTGTATATCCCTATACCATTCAGGTGCCTACTCATTACCCGAACATTCCAAGATGATAGAATCAATTCACTGAACGATCGACTCGAATTTCCGGATGTTAGCGCAAGCTTCCTTGTTCGAAGTTCTTCATTAGTTCTTTGTTTCCGAAGAAAACCGACGTGAGTTTTGCTAGTCACTCTTAGCCGAGCATGCAGGGCCTACTGACCTTGCAAGACATTAAGCTCCATGAACTTCAGAAAGCCCATTGAACTTTTTGTTTCAAGAAAAAAACTTCATCAAACACCGATACCAACCTCGGAAACCTGTATTTTGTGTGGAAATCATTGATGTCGACTATTCATTTTGCATGTGGTTGCTTAACAGTAAGAAATGAGCAGAAGAAAAAGGGATAGATCGAGTTTTTCATTAAAAAATACTACATGCAAATGTAAAACTTTTGGAATCGTTCTGGTATAATGGTATTTCACGTGAAAAAGAATTTGTTTGCCTTATTTACATTTTCTGCTGTTCTTATGAAGAGTGAATAAATGAAACATTGTACTTCTTCCTTAATTAACTGAGATCAGGCTCTGAGGTGCTTCTGCTACCACAAGTCTTAAACCCAATTCAAAAATTGCATTTCTTGTTACTTATTTATTGCAGAAACTTCTGACGCGTGTCTGTGCTCGTCAGAAGTCCTATGGGATTTCGCGCTCCTAGGGTGATTGTTCCTGAGCGCCCCACCGTTGAGCTCGCGGTGTCTGACTGTAGGTCTCAGTTGTGGGGTTAAGAGTTATGATGTAGGTAGGATTCCTTACATTTAGTTATTATGTAGGTAGGATTCCTTACATTTCCCTTCTCTGTCTCTCTCGTGCGGGCGGCCGACGTCCCGTGTAAGCGACCTCTTGTTCGAGTGTCTTAGTTTCTGTTGCTTTTCACCTGTCCCTCCTTGTCACTTCGTCTCTTTGAAATGATAACGCTGCTTCTTTCGAGCCAGCTTCAGAGGGCTGGACAATAACTGCGACTTTCCGCCACTTGTGGGTGACCGTTTTTTTTATCCAAAAAAACTGTCAATAATTGAGACTTCCATNGCCACTTGTGGGTGACCGATTTTTTTTATCAAAAAAACTGTCAATAATTGAGACTTCCATCTCATTGGTGATGTTCATCTTGACTTTCAGCGCGATGTAGCTAAATAGCTGAAGCACTAGTAAACATGTGTCTACCAAACTAAAAATTTCAGGAACGACTGTATAATAATTTAGAAACTATTTATGATTCATTTATGTTTTCTTTGTGCGGTTACGGAATGACTGTGAAACTCTCTTTTGAAACAATCCCGCGAACGTTCCTGGTTCTTGTTTAATAACTTGTCTCCTTGGAACTATTTATACGGACGTACTTGTGTATTGACGTAGTAAATAAGCATTAAAATTAGAAGACGTTGTTGCGTAGACTGTTCTGTGATGGTGATCTTGTTTTATCTCATAGACTTCTATTATCCATAATCTTTGTACTACATATCTATTTTGAAACTGATGTGTACACGATCTAATGTAAAAATAAAGTGGGCACTCGACTGAAATTCATGTATTTTAACTTTATCTTGCAAATCTTCTTCCACAACACAACTATTCACGCTTTGTGAACAGTTGTTCGGTGAGGAACCATAGCCTGTATTAAAAAATATTTAACTACAATACTAAAACACTGAAATGAACAAAATGTTGATAGACTCTTATTTGGTTACCCGAGTTTTCGAGACCGAATAATAATTTATACATATTGTTCAAAAAATTCTGAATAGTTGTGAAGTGATCTTCTCTCAAGGCTCTATTTCGAACACTCATAGTCATCACTAGTTGGACTCAGTCATACACGCGCAGTCCACTTCGTACAGAGCGGCCTACACTTAATTGACTGGAGTGTGCGCTAATTGATATCAATCCGTACATGTAAGATCATTGATTTTGAAGACGCCGTAATCCGCAATACCTGAAAAATATACAATTCATCATAATGTGTCTAGACTCCATAACCATTTCGTCACTTAAATACTTTAAATTTATCGTCTGTGGAAAAGACCCGCTTAAGCAATTGTGAACTCCACCAAACATATAGAAAGATCATAATAAACTGTGCGTCAAAGTCAATGTAGGGATTTTATTGTCATTTACAAGAATAATGCGTTGCATTGCGTTAAAATAACACCTTCAACGAACGGCCTTTATAGTAGACGCTGAGTTCATCACCAAACTGCAGAGAAAAGCGAATAATTAAGGGCTCCGGTTAATGCAAGAGTCCCACAGCCGAGGCACTAAAGACAATAGAATAGAATAGAATAGAATAGAAGTGTCGGCAATGAAGAAATAGGCCCATGGCCTGTTGCCGATTCTTGTACTTTTCGTGTCTTGATTCACAAGGGATCCGGCCTCTGGAACCCGATCTTTCCATAACTGACGATTGATTGAGATAGCTGCTGGACTTATTGCCTGGTCCGTAATTTGCTAGGCATTTCTTTTGAGGCAATGTACAAATGCAATGGCTAGGCAATGATTCCATGTACAACGCCGGAAAGCAGTTTCTGCAGAAAGATTAGTCAATAAAGATGGCAATCGGATTCGGCACATTACATACACTCAGAATAACGTAATAATATCGCACCGACAATGTCTCAGACTTGTCTTTCTCAGGCGTGCCCTGTGATTCAACTTACCTGAACCCTGGGGACCATCTGGAGTGAACGCAGCTGACTGGGAGACAACTCGCACCCAGTGCTAAGGTAAAGCTCTATCATCTAATTTGATAAGATCCAGGGCGTATACTTTCAAAAAAGTTAAGAGATCGTGAGTTCATCCGCCAATCATTGACGGCCTTTCAAGCAAAATCACCAATCATAGACAAGAAAATAGAGCGTAAGTACTTACGTTCACATAGCGAGCTTTGAAAGTATCCACCAATCATAGACAAGAAAATAGAGCGTAAGTACCTACGTTCACTTAGCGAGTTTTGAAAGTATGGCCCCTGGGCGTCAATAGCGATCTATCAAAGCAGGGATTTTAAAGCGAATGAGTCATTTTTCGAGGTCATCTCAAAATCGACATCGGCATTATAAGGAGGGAGATTAGGACACATTACGAGTACTGAAACTGAATTTTAGTCTTAATTTTTCGCTAATCAGGATATGCTTGTAAATCCTTGGAAACGCAAAAATAAAACTCTTTTGACCACATTGCAGTTCCCATTACTTAGCGATTACGACATCCCCAAGTTTGTTGATGAGAAACATTTCATGAACTTCAGCACCAATCGAATGAATTTAATATTTCAAATCCCAGCCTAAGAGTTTGACCGTTTGTTTTCACTCACAAATGCCTATATTATAACTTATTGATTTCTAAAAATTGTAAATTATGGTATGAAATGGATCCAACCACTAGGCTGACAAATTTGCATTTAACCATCATTCATGCATATCATAAGGTTAATTATAGAATATTAAACTATCATTTCATCAACCCAGCAGCACTGGAGCTAAATCGAGGAACTTTTCACCCCAAATAACAATTCATACATCAAGATGTCACTACATATAAAGAAGCGGTATTTAATGAGACTGCCTTGCACCCATTGCGTTTGCGTCTTAAAACGAGGTGATTTCATAACGCAAGAGCGCGTATTGATTTCAATAACGCATGATAGTAACGTGCGCATTTTTTTATACTGCATTCATGCTATTGTGAGTGTAAATTTTGAACCTTCATTAAGATTATAATTATACACCGGGAATTAATCTTCATTTGATGATTATTGTTGATTTACCATCCATATCTTCGATTATTGTGTGATTTATGGGTAATAAATTAGATCAGTGAATGATTTGTGAACAATAAATCAGGTCACTGTATGATCTTGTAATAATAAAATGTATTATTATTCCCTTCGAAAAGAAATCCTTGAGCTAGCCAATTAATAAGTCGTTTCAGACAGCAGTCTCCTGGCAACAGATTTCCTAAGCGACCAAATGAGCTGTTCGGAATTTTTTTTTAAAAACCTATATATTATGCATAAACTTGAAACTACCGAGCATATATGCAGCTGCTCTCAAAAGAAAAAAGTAAAAATCTATTGTAATTTGCACATCCCCATTTAAAACTGAAGTGCAAGCAATAGTGCAGACGATGTGTAGTCCAGGCAGGCGAGCGCTTGTGATGAGGCAACATTGCAGACTGCAGACGATGTGTAGACCAGGCAGGCGGGAGGTTGTGAGGCAACATTGCAGACTGCAGACGATGTGTAGACCAGGCAGGCGGGAGGTTGTGAGGTAACATTGCAGACTGCAGACGATGTGTAGTCCAGGCAGACGGGCGGTTGTGAGGTAACATTGCAGACTGCAGACGATGTGTACTCCAGGCAGACGGGAGGTTGTGAGGTAACATTGCAGACTGCAGACGATGTGTAGACCCAGGCAGACGGGCGGTTGTGAGGCAACATTGCAGACTGCAGACGATGTGTAGTCCAGGCAGACGGGCGGTTGTGAGGTAACATTGCAGACTGCAGACGATGTGTAGTCCAGACAGGCGGGCGCTTGTGAGGCAACAGTGCAGACTGCAGACTATGTGTAGACAAGGAAGGCGAGCGCTTGTGAGGCAACAGTGCAGACTGCAGACTATGTGTAGTCCAGGCAGGCGAGCGCTTGTGAGGCAACATTGCAGACTGCAGACGATTTGTAGACCCAGCAGACGGGCGGTTGTGAGGTAACAGCTGACCATCATCATTATTTAGTTGAGATTCACATTCAACATTGAGGTAATAATTAAATTGTAAATAATACTCCACTTCAAAATTTTGACGTCATGTTGATAATTCCGTGTCGAAACGACAAACTTCCAGCTTAAAAAATCTATCACTGACGTGAAGAAAAATATTTCATTGACATAAAAATATATATCCTTGACTTGAAAAATATATCCTTGCGATAAAATATTCGTCATTGAAATGAAAAATGTATCCTTGACTAGAAAAAAATATATTTGGTTGATCAGAAGAAAAACTTCGTTCCAGTTTCGTCCATAATCCAGATATTATGTGCAGAGAATTCGTACCTAATCGTGATTTCAGCCAACACCATAAAAACTCATCAACTTTTTGCCCATTGATGTTGACTGAAATCAACATTTGGCAAGGCAAGAGTCAATATAACTCGATAAGGGGTCATAAATACGCATAACTAGAAACTAAACCTGCTGCCTTGAGGCGGCAAATAAAAAAAAGACATGCAATATGAAGTGTAATTTGTAATTCAAAAAGCTAGTCATAGTTTTGAAAAGGTCATTGAGACATATCTAATGAGGTATAACACAAGACTTCACCGTGGGCGCTTTGCCCCGTGACACGCGTGGGCCCGTTGCCCCCACTAGGTATCATTTCAACTTATATCGTGTCAACATTTTATTTTAAAAGCTGATAGTCTAAACTTGATCTCAAAACTATCCCTATAAATCTTACTTTCAAAATATAATTCACTGTAATTTCAAAAACTTCATTTACAGTAATCGAAAACAGTTTTATTTAACAGCAAAAAATTTTATCTGGGCTAAAACAGTTATTCACAAATAACTTAATAACGGAAACACTTAGCAAAACGTAAATCCGCTTACTTTATCCCAGTGAAACTGTCGACCGGCGGTAGAGAACACGGACCAATATCTGCCATACTTAGCGAGAAACCCGCTATGGGCCCGTGACCCGCAGTGGGCTCGCTGCCCCATGTTACCCTACTCGAAATTTCACCAAAATCTAAGTTTAGATAATTAGTGGAATATTTTACTTATTAACCACCACTTTATTGGAAGTAAATTGACTTATGACTAGGATAAGCTTGAACTTATGAATAATTTTAAATTAAATAATTTATAATCTCGTTGCATGGAGAATGCGAGACCTGCGCGGTTTCAACAAAATCAACTTTATAACAAAATCAACTCATAATCATCATATTTTCAACGTCATATGCCAAAGGAGGGTTGTAAGTTCTCTTCCCATCCCTCGTACCTCGCAACACTGCATGGCGGCAGCTGAACGAAGCCTTCACACGGCGCTATGGCCGACCAATGCTCATGACATTGCAATATCATTATCATTGTTTTCATTACTCATCGTTGTTACTATGTAGAGTGTTAAATTATTATCAGAAACGAAAAAGTGCATTATTAATGCACCCTCATTATTATTTCATTATTATTATTATTATTATTATTATCATTATTATTATTATTATTACTATGTAGAGTGTTAAATTATTATCAGAAATGAAAAAGTGCATTATTAATGAACCTTCATTATTATTATAATCAGAAATGAGGAGGCATGGGCAGCAGTTGCTTGGTAGTCAAGTCCAGCTTCGAGATTATTATGATTTTTTTTGCTATTTTTTTGTGTAGCGCGAGTTTGATGTCCCGGTAATTAATGTTATTTGTAAATAATTAACAGTGCCCTAATTGAGACGAGCTCGTCGAGCTCATATTGCAAATAAATATTATTATGAGTGAATTATTAATAAATATTATTATGAGTGAATTATTAATAAATATTATTATGAGTGAATTATTAATAAATATTATTATGACAATATGTGCATTGTATTGTGAAGTGATCTGGGAGGCAGTGTGCAATATAACAATAATGGGAGGCCCATAAACCTCAATACAATATGTGCATTGTATTGAGGTTTATGGGCCTGTTGCTAGGATGGAAGATGTACAATACCTAGGATTAACCCTTTTATTAATCACTTTTTAATCTTTAACATTATTCTCTAAGAATAAAAAGTCTATGGAACTGTTCCAGACAGTGATAGGTGGTTCAGCTTTGTTGAAACTCGACGACTTCAGTATGTTGCATATTATTGATAAATTTTTTAATACTCAATTAAATACCTTAATTGAGTAGAATATTATTCTCGCATAAAGAAATTATCATATTATTCATGATTAAACCTTACTCGCGCCGACTTCACCCTCGGCAGTAGTATAGTCCATCAATTGCTTATCGAATATTGTTAATATCGTTTACTAGAAATTTAAAAGCGAAGAAAACACCACAAAAATTTAGCATATCTCTTTTGAATTCAAAAGAGATATTTGAATTCTCTTTCATATTCAAAAGAGATATGCTAAATTTTTGCGGTGATTTCTTCGCTTTTAAATTTCTAGTGAATCTGCGATTAAAGCAATCTAGTGACTTTTTTACTTGTGTAATATCGTTTATGGATATTGTTAGATTATGATGAGACAGAGAAGGAGTATTAAGGATTATTAAGGAGTCCAAAATATTAAGGAGATTATTAAGGAGTCCAATATTCCACTTCCATTGCTGACTAGTATTCTACTACAATACAAGAAATTTGTCGAATTTACGACAAAAAAAATATCATTTCGCTGCAGGGTGACTATCCCTGTTGCAACACTAGCACTGTCTATAAAAAACTTTAACACAACATTTGTGTGTTACGTTTCAACGCACGAGGAGCTGAAGGAAAATCAAACAAGTTACGTGAGAAAGTTAGAGTTGCAAGCTCGAAACGATAACAAGGATCTTATCAAGATAAGAAGGCTTTTTGATTATATTAACATCAATGATTTTCTAAAGAATCAAGCTAATACAACAATACGTATATAATAAATAAAGAATTAAGATAGCCGTGGAAGATACATCGATTATCACGATTAAGGATACGTGCTGAAATGCACAATTATTCTGCAGGACCTAATACCACTAGTAACATTACCGTTATACCATTAGTAACATTGACATCAAACCATCAGCAAGATTAACAAATTAACGAATACACAGTATACGAATGAGATGAAATACCGAACCATGCAACCCACAGACCGAGTATTTTGGTACCTGCAATACACCAGTAAAATTTTTAATTGTATCTGCAATACACCAGCAAAATTACTTACTGCATGTATCTGCAATATTTTTGTAGCTGCAATACACCAGCAAAATTACTTACTGCATGTATCTGCAATATTTTTGTATCTGCAATACGCCAGCAAAATTACTTACTGCATGTATCTGCAATATTTTTGTATCTGCAATACACCAGCAAATTACTAACTGCATGTATCTGCAATATTTTTGTATCTGCAATACACCAGCAAATTACTAACTGCATGTATCTGCAATATTTTTGTATCTGCAATACACCAGTATCTGCAATATTTTTGTATCTGCAATACACCAGCAAAATTAATAACTGTGTGCAGGAAGCAGTAAATGTGCTAACTTCATAACGCCCAGCGACACAAAACTATTTACTTCACGCTATTCTGTTCAAAGAGCTTCCTTGAAGCCCAGAAATTTAATATATCTTTCAATAATATAATAAATAACATCGTTTTGTTGGCACTCGGCGAAAAGTGAAGAATACTTATCGATAAAACTTGGCACCGGTCAAATACTATGTATTATACTCACCAAGTTTAGCATATCATTACTATCATAAAAATGTTCTAATGACAACCACAGTGGAAGTTTGCCAGTTTAACCAGGCCAATTCTAGTTAACCGTTGCTTAAAGAATGTCCATTACCTACGGACATCTGAAGAGGAGTCCCTTTTTAGCGCATTTTCTCATTTATGGAAAAAATGCACTATTGCGCTCGCCATGTCCGTCTGTCTGTCCGTCTGTACGTCCGTCCGTCCGTGACCTCAAGTTTTCGTCGACGAGAAAATGCGCTCTCTGTCACTCACTGCAGTGAGTACTGAGTTATATTTTTTGGAATTAATGCGCTGGAGGAGGGTATCCTCTACTCTTCCGGAGGATAATGTAGTCATCCTATTATTTTTCCACTAACATCCTTTAGAACTCGTGGAATTAAGCATCCATATCGCACTCACATCCATAATATAAATTACGTATCGAAATCAGGACATGTTAAATTTTATCCTTCGTTCTTTCTTATGAATTTAGTGACCTCGCTTGGCCCAATATACATTTCGTTAGAGGTCACAATACATACAAATCGAAGTGTTTAATCGTAACTTGGACAGCAGACAATCATCAGGATTAAAACTCTCCCTAGAGGTGAAATTACGATTAGATTTTTACCCAACATTTCCTCAGCATTATCTCATCATAAGTAATTTACATATATGATAAAATCATTCTTATATAATTTACGTAATGTTGTACATCAGAATATAATACAAATATCACTGTTGATAAATCACGTTTAATGAAAAATCGCTCAAAGCTACATTAGGAAGGTAGTCGTGAGAAAGACCGAAATTTAATATCTTTGCTTTGAACTGCAGTGAACTCCACTTAAATGGAGGAAGCGATTACAAGTGGACGCGTTGAGACAGCACAAATGCTTAGCAATTTAAAAACCCATGTGAACATCCGAGCGATGAAGTGCAATTTACGGTGCATTTAGTTATTATCGGTGCAGTCATTTCTAACTATGTCGTGACGCGAAAAACTTTAGTTTGGCCGTGACGCGTCGGTGGAGAGTTTGCATAACAATTAAAGCGAGTGCTGGTTGATGATATCGTTGCAATCTGTACAGGTGGAGCTTTTAATGCAGTCTAAAGAAGACTTGTAAATACTATAATAATTTGAAACGATCTAAGTTTGCACACCAAAGATTAGTGCTTCCCAAAAAACTCAATGTGCGGTTTAGAATATTATACAATAAAGTTCTCGTAGCCGCTCAACACGCAACCCAAAACTATACGCTGGTGCCCCTTGCCAGACGTCCAGATTAGTCTCCCTTGCTATATGACAGACTGATTTCTCATTAAACTCAGGCGTGGTGCAGCTGTTCAGTCTATTGACACATAGTTAAATAAGTATTTGAGTGATTGTATACAAAAAAAAAAACAAAAATAATAGATGGCTCTCCGATGCTTCAAACTCGCAGTGAACTGCCAGCAACGTCAGCAACACACTGCAGAACTGCCTGGAGCTAATTAGTGAACGCGCCTCAGCATATTAGCGTAATAACCAAGTTTTAACATAACACTGAGAAATGTTCAAAAGGAACGTCGGTCATTCAAACAAAGGTTGCGATTGCGGCTCCACATAGCGGAAGATAACATTAAAATCCTTTATTCAACGGAAATACCATTAATTGAAAATTACTCAATGTCAATAAAACCTACTGAGTGCGAAATAAATAAATAAAAGAATGTACAGATATTATTTCAGACTCAACAATATTATTGTTGACCATTGCTGTTAGGAACAAGGCCTAACGCTTATTTCTGATATGCACTTAATCAAATCTGTTCATAGCTGCTGGTAAAAAAGGACCAACGTGACCCAAGACAAAAATTATTAATAGTGCAACTAAATTGGTATGTTTGAATATGTGTATACGTATGTCTATACATTAATAAATATATGTGTAGAGACCAGCTCCGTGACCTGCAGTCCAGCATCTGCTATACACAAGTGCTCGATTGAACCAAGTTACTCAAGTGTAGTAAGCTTCATTGCCGGAATTGCAAATATAGTTGCGAAAAATAAAGTATGTAGAAGAGTCGTGATAGCAGAGTTCGCTGATCATGTAAAAACATTCACTTTGATCTGGATAATGCATTTAATGAAGATGGAAATAATTTCATTCCCAGCAATAAGAAGTTTTGTTTCACAACGCACCATGAGAGCTGCATAAACATGACGCTACAAACAAATGCACTTCTCTGATAAAACAGAAATACTTAAAATGTCATTTTTATGAGATACTCATATAGATGCAATTTAGACGAGATGAGCATGAAAGAGATGATACACCGTAGAGACTGAACTTAAAAAAGTTGAACCACTTAAAATTCAAGTTTATCGTCTCAACTAATATTAGATTCTGTAGTTTTTCTTCAAAAAATTCTTATTCTACCACTTACACTTAAACATCACACGAAGGGGAAAAATAAATAAGAAGTCTCTTATTTCACTAATAATTTTCAACATTTTTCAAGTCAATTGCTGGCGCTTATTAGTCAAACCTAAATGTTCTGAAGATTATTCGTCTTTCTTGTACGGTGTTTTACTTACTGTCGCCATTCGAATGGCTGGGTTCCCCGCAAAAAAGACATATAGTTCGTCCAAAGTCTTTTCTGGTTAAAATTATATGTTATCAAGTTTGTGTCGGGGCAGAAACTCTGTAAAAAGTTTAATTTTCAGATTACGAAATGTCTATGTACTAGTATAATCAAAATATCGAAAAATCCTCCTTTTTTGTAGATTTTTTGCGGGCTTACAAAGTCCAAACATTTTCTTGGTCGCTTGAACCGAATTTCTTGGCAGCAATTTCAGCTTGGCATTCAGGACGAAATGTTCCGCAGCACCTGCGGAAAAAAGCACTGTCATAAGTGTGAAAATAGAAACTTCAAAAGACGTGTCAAGGTATCCCGGGATATTTTTACAAGCATGTCAAGGTATCCCGGGAAACTTTAACAAGCGTGTCAAGGTATCCCGGGAAACTTGTACAAGCGTGTCAAGGTATCCCCGGAAACTTGTACAAACGTGTCAAGGTATCCCCGGAAACTTGTACAAGCGTGTCAAGGTGTCCTGGGAAACTTGTACAAGCGTGTCAAGGTATCCTGGGAAACTTCAAAAGACGTGTCAAGGTATTCCGGGAAACTTGTACAAGCGTGTCTCAAGGTATCCCCGGAAACTTGTACAAGCGCGTCTTAAGGTACACCGCACCTAATTGCAGCGTGTATTATGATCGCACCGCACCTAATTGCAGCGTGTATTATGATCGCACCGCACCTAATTGCAGCGTGTATTATGATCGCACCGCACCTAATAATTGCAGCGTGTATTATGATTATTAAAACAAAAGATAATAAGTAAAAGCTTGCCTTGTAGTCGAGCTCCTCGAAGACGTCGTCGTTGTCATCTGGCGTGTCAGGCTCGCCCGTCTGTCCCAAGCCTGAGTTAATAAAAAGTTAGTTAAACTAATCAGAGTTACTATAAATGTAATTACTATAACTTAAAGTAGTTAAGTAACCAGAGTTAATATAAACGTGATCCATAGGGAGTACGGACTGTTTTATGCCGAGACGTGTTATGTGGAGAACCAGGACGTGTGATGTGGAGAACCGGGACGTGTGATGTGGAGAACCAGGACGTGTGATGTGGAGAACCGGGACGTGTGATGTGGAGAACCGGGACGAGTGATGTGGAGAACTGGGACGTGTGATTTGGAGAACCGGGACGTGTGATGTGGAGAACCCGGCGTGTGATGTGGAGAACAGGGACGTGTGATGTGGAGAACCGCAACGTGTGATGTGGAGAACCGGGACGAGTGATGTGGAGAACTGGGACATGTGATGTGGAGAACCGGGACGTGTGATGTGGAGAACTGGGACGTGTGATGTGGAGAACCGGGACGTGTGATGTGGAGAACCGGGACGTGTGATGTGGAGAACCGGGACGTGTGATGTGGAGAACCGGGACGTGTTATGTGGAGAACCGGGACGTGTGATGTGGAGAACCGGGATGTGTTTACAACGCTCATCCGGCTATTCATTTGAAATATGCAGACAACAATAAAATATGTAAACATTGTATTGAAACAGTTGTAATGGGAAAAATGTTGTGGGGGGGGGGAATTTGGGGAATAATAGCATTAATAGGGAAGTCTCCCCGTAGGAGGCTTCCATCAATATATATTCACCTTACAAAGACTTCACACTCGCAGTTCAAGTCGTATATACGAGTTAAATTGGTGGCTAACGGCTGCGCTTCCATCCCTAGCAGTCAACTAATTGTTACAAAAAACAAGCAGTCAACCGATGATTATTTTGTAATATATGGATAATATATAATTTAACCGCATAGAGAGGGCAGTATATCTCAGTTCATGAAACATTCTGACTAATGCTTGAGTCTGCCCACCTGACCGCATGGTGCTGTAGTCGCCTGAGTAGCTGGACGCTCGACGCAAGCCATCCATGCGCGGCTGGGAGAAAATAGCAAAATTTGTTCATTTCTCCCATAGATTGAAGCAATTATATATAAATCTGATGCATAACTAATTGAGTAGGGATTTTAGCCTATAAAAAAGACATCGTGATAGGTGAAAAGTAATAACCTTATTATTTTCGGTAATGTAGCATATGTTATTTGTAAAATTACCAGTTTTTATGCAAAATTAAATCTGTAATAAAGTTTGTAACCAACTTAATTACCGATAGGTTTTGTATGAGAATATGAAAAGCTGCTCTCATAATTCGTAGAATACAAGCTCAAATTAGCTGTGTGAGGAAATTTTGTTATTTGCTATTTCGCTACCAATTAGATCAGGTAGGCTGTCAAGTAAAGCTGGTCAAATTTAGACAAAATCTGATTTGGAAGTAAACAAAATTTCTTTCGTGACATTATAATATATTTTCTGAATTAAATTCTTTAAATGAAACTTACGGTGCGATCGTATAATAAACTTGCAAAAGTTCAATCAAAACATTGATGTTTTAAGATTCATCTCATGCATATTGCCTCCCGGATGTTTGGTCCAAACTAAAAAAAAAATGATCATCTTCACAAGTGATTTTTGGAAAATAACACTAATAATTACCTCCTCGTAAGCACTGGCTTCGTCATTGTAGCAGAGAGAGAAAGAGTCATCGTCAACTGGAGGAAGATATTCCTCTACGCTGCTGACGAGACGCAAACGAGGAACGTGAGGAGGGACAGACGACGTCTGACCTCCAACGTCATCAGAACTGCGACTGTACAGTCGGTCATGGTCAGATCTGGTCACTGAGTAGTGGCACACATAAGCCTTGTTATCGAGTGTTTCTTGTTCGTGTGACTTGTTTTGATTCGCATTATCAAGTAAGAGATAATTTTGATTCTTGACCAGCGACGACTGAGGGCTGCTGGCATGGTGGCTACTAGGCTCGTCGCTGTCGTAGCCTTCCGAGTCCGAGGCGTAGTCGCCATATTGAGGCCCATCCGAGGCTCGGGCCGCAATTTTATTCAGATTTTGAGGTCCATAAAACTTTTTCATGTATTCTCCTGTCATTTTGGGGACCTTTTGGATCATTTTACGTTGTTGTTGGCTCTCTTCAAACCTCTTGTTTTCTTCTTCGGCAACTCGTTCAAAGATGGCACATTTGTCGGCTACAAAAGAAGTCTTGCCTGAAAGCCATGGCGTTTCTTGCATTGACAAATCCATTTTATTTGCAACAGAATCGAAGTTTCTGGTTCCAATAGTTTTCTGCGGGTAATCTTCTATCCAATTTTTCCCCGTTCCATCCTGTACAATGAAGTTTGATTCCAATTCTGAAAACAACCCTGAGTTACCGTTGTCAGCTGTACGATCTTCATGATTACGCGGTTGGCCCCAAACTTCACACTCAAGCCACGCTTGCTCATCTCGCTGCTGGTTTGAGTTGAGCATTCCGCTGAAGCCTGCACCGTATCTTGGAACTTCTTCAGCTTCCTGAATGTCAGCGCCTGTGGAATCAGGCAAAGTGAGGCCTACAGAAGACATGTTGCAGCCGCTGCCGAAACGCCTTAGCAGACCTAGAGACATGGGGCCCCGTGTTGAATTGGGGCCTGAAACACGGCAGTCATCATCGCTGCTACTACTGCCACTGCTGCTCCCTTCATCATTGAACTCTAAAGGATTACCAGGGAGATATCTACTTCCATCTTCTTCGGACCCAGGAACTGTCAAAAAATTTGACCCGTAGCCAGGAATATTGAAATTTTTCAAGGATTTTCTACTTCGAGAGCCTTGCCTGAGCTTTGGAGCCTGTGGCGTGGGTGGCTGGAGGGATATTTCTGGCAAGCTCGTGGTTGTGGCAGGCAAAAAGAGTGTAGCTTTCTTTTGCGAGCTATTAACTGTGGATGAATCAAACGACATGCTACTGTAGCCTGAGGTGCTGCTACCCATACAGCTGATTATGAGGGACTCTCTGGCACTTGAATTACTCGAAGAATACTGCGTGTCATTGTGACTCTCACAACTACAAACACTACGCACCGATTCTAGATTATTGCTAGCGCGTGGATGAGACGAGGAATCAGCACTTTCGTGGCTATCGCTCAGAGAACGGGCTCTGTCGCTGATAATAAAGGAAGGGTTACATAAGCTTTTATTTAGCGTTGGAGGTTCAAAGCTTTTACTTCTTAACTTCAGCTTCTTCCTACCTTGCACTGTATCATCGCTAGCTGATTGTATTTGGACCGACTTGTGTGTTTCGCCAGACGACTTCTCCACAGACTGCAATCTCACGTCGTCATCGGGCGTTAAACACGGAGTGGACGCCAGTTCTGGGTAATCCTGTTCTACTTCAGCATCAAGATAGCCTTCATATTCTTCAGGAGTTGGTAGTGTAACGTGATGTTTTGGAGATAATTGCGGCGACTCTTCTTGTATGCCTTCCAACTTCAATGAGTTTTTCTTCTCGTCCCTGGATCGCAGTAGCGCCTGGCGACGTTCCATCGCAGCCTCGATATGGTCTTCCTGACTCTCGGGCATGTCCAGCACGACTATTTCCTCACAACCGTGCAGCGAGTCACCGCCGCTCAGACGTAGAAATTCAATCCGTTTTCGGATGAAGTCTTCCGTGTTCAAATTCTCTTCTTGCTCAAAAACAGGAGTCACACTTCGGGTCTCAATGAAGTCTGAATTTATGTTCAACGAGTTTACGTACTTCTCCACCTTTTTCAAGCTGTTTACTTTCTTTTTTGGAAGCTGCTTTGCAGGGAATAGCTTTGCTTTGAACCTGCTACTTATTCCTTTCTTCTTTTGATCAGGTTTTGGTCTCTCATAAGGAATGGGCTCATCTTCGTCACTTTGTGAAGCTACTTCAACATTTTTTCTACTCGAGGAATTTGGATTGCAACTATCTTCTATCTCTAACTGAAAACCAACATTTTTGAAAGGAGAATCTAGGTTGTTGTTTAAGGCACTTGGATGTTCAGTAGACGCTTCAGCGACCACTCTCAAGTCTGGATAAAGAATAGAAGGCTTTTTCAGACCGGGCTCCACTGTGGCACTTGTTCCTTCTGACGGGTCGTCTGCTCGCCGTGAGTCCGTAAGATCTCCAAAGGAACCACTTTTGTTCTGAGAAAGTCAAGAATCGTCTTCAAATTTATTACAGACACTCATAATATCATGTTCCTATAATATCATGTTCCTCTTACATGCATTTGGAGAATAGGACCGCCTAGCTTATTATAAACAAAGAATTCTCAGACAATTGGAAAAAAAAACTCTAAGCGAAATAGCCATTAGTAACACTAACTGAATTAGGAGACCTTGAATTTGGTCTACTTCTTGTAGCTGCATAATTGTAAATCAGAGTAAATAATAATTTAATTGAAGTATGCTATCTATTTGATGTACAGTTTAATTTTAAAATAAGGTAATTTTACACAATGTAGCTCGCTTTGGTAAGAAATTGTTTTTTTAAGCACATCTATTTTTCACAACCGAAGAAAAATGCACATGGACATTAGTGAGTTATACTGTCAAAACAGAATAAACGCTTACGTCATCGACAACGAACTTTGATCAAATCCATCTCCGTTTGAAATTGATTTATCTTTGATCTCTAAATATTTATCTTGACCAGGAATACGACAGCATGGCTCGATTGTGGGTTACTTCTACTCTGAATATGATTTATAATAAATAATTATTTGCTCCAGTAAGTATTAATCGTCGGAAAAAATCACCTTGAAAGCCCTATGAGTGGCGGGAGATGTCGAGCGGAGCAGATGTAAGGCGTCGAGACTGAAGGCGCGTCCCAGACTCGACTCGTGAGTCGGAGAGCTTGCCTCGTGTGCCTTTGCTGTAGAGCTCTCACTGCCCCGCTTGCTCGAAACTCTGGCAGAAATGTTCTGTTACACATTACACATAAAAATTGATGTTCTTATCAAACTTGCATTAGAATTTTGATGTATTTTAGGACCGTTGGCGTTGTAAGATCGCTTCTTAGTACGCAGGTGAAACGGCAATGATTTTTGACAGCAACACGATAGCTCGGATTGCGTGACTACAACAGCTAAGCGAAAGTAGCTCGAAGTGCGATTGCAAGAAACTGTGAACTTTTTGACCGATATCCAAGACACCTATAATTTATATTGATGAATCAAAAGAATGACCACTTAGTCATAATCTTAGTAAATATTTTCCCATATCAATGAAAAATCTAAACAAGGAAACATGCGTGCAAATTTTCATATTGAAATGCTTCTGCGAACCTAAATGTGAAAAAATATAACTCAGTACTCACTGCAGTGAGTGACAGAGAGCGCATTTTCTCGTCGACGAATACTTGAGGTCACGGACGGACGGACAGACGGATGGACAGACAGACAGACGGACATGGCGAGCACAATAGTGCATTTTTTCCATAAGTGAGAAAATGCGCTAAAAAGAATGTTACATATTGAAAAAGGAGCGAAATTATTTTGCATAGATCAACAATAACAAATTTGCGTTCGAGAATTAAATATAGCGTCTGCTGACATGCATCGCTGCAACAAGTTGCTCCACGTGGCCTTGTGCTCCGGAGTTGGAGCTCGCAGTGAGAGGCTGCGGGTGAGGCCGCGATGGAGGCTACGGTAGAGGCGCAGCCACACGCGCCTCACCGGCCTCGGCCGTGCCTCGGTGCCGAGCCTCACGCTCGTGTCCAGCAACAGACGGAGGTCGGTTGCTGGAAAATAACGTTGGATTTAAATGATGCTAGAATGCAACGTTGGATTTCAATGATGCTAGAATGCAACGTTGGATTTCAATGATGCTGGAATGCAACGTTGGATTTCAATGAATATAATTATTATACTTAAATAGCTCTACTGGCAGTGGCATCATATGGCTCATTTTTAGAGGGCTTCAGCACCCTAGAATTTTCTGAGTTCGAATAAACAATCGAACAGTAGTTATAAATTATTACAGCAAATATGATCAAAAAATTTATGAGGCCTAGTCTTCTCGGTCTTTCAATCCTATATGACGCTCCTGTTTTAACATATAACACATTTCAATATATATTTATATTTTTCATCAATTTTCATTACGAACAGGTTTATCGTGGTCTACTGTTACTGTTAGAGGTACTAATGTGCTATTGTTACACCAGAGCTGCGAAACTCAAGACAATAATCTACAAGCTTAAACCATTTACTTAAACCATAAACCACAGACACATACACTGGCGACGACTCTTAAGAATATCGCAGCTCAGCGTTCCGAACTCACGATGTTTCTTGACGTTGAAGTTGGTGTGGACGATGGCGGCGAGCAGCAACGGTTCCTCCACGACGTAAATCACGCGGTCCCTGTTGATGACGGTTAGCAGCAGCAGGTCGCTGAACAACATCGCCCAGTAGTGGCGCGTCTGCCGCCCTTCACACGCCCATAACTCGCCTCCGAACACCCATCGTCGCCGCCCGTCGTCCAGCTCGAAAGGCTGGAAACGCGCGCAACGAGTCTGGCAGCAAGACTCACCTCAGTGAACCTGGTGAAGACGAGTCTGGCAGCGATGTCGGCCACGGAGGTGAGTGGACTGCGGAGGCGGGACGGTGAGTTAGGGGAAGTCCCCAGCCCAGGCTCCATGATGTTGTGTTGTGACGTCACCTCGTGGTACGCGTTCTGTGACAGGTCAAATTTGCGACTACGACTGATGCAGTAACAGTCCAATCTAATACGTAAATACAACATAAAATACTAACACTTAGAACAATTAAATGCAGTGAAAAAACATTCATTACTCTTCAAATGCAATAAAATTAATTAGCTAGCAATATGTTGCTTATAAATTGATTTTGGCAGTTTTGATAAATTGAAGATACGTCATTGACAGGCAACAGATTCTTGTCATCTCAAATGAATACTCAGGATGAGAAGTATCGGAAAGCATCAAAATTTCAATCATCCGCTGCAGACTTAATGACGATTAATTTGATTTAATTTGAGCATAGTTGCAATCATAAGCTCCGTGATTTTAAATAAAACCACACACACCAGCTATCAGAAATCAGTTCTTGAGAAACCATTACATTCTTAGTTTTAGCAATAAGCAGCATTTGAGCCCGGGATCAATAATCTCAAGAACTTTAGAATCCCAATATCCTGATCCCCGTTAATAGTATAAAACTAATGTATCGTAATTTATAGAACTCCTTTTTAACCCTACATTTTACACAGAAAGATGGAATTTCGTTTGACACCTCTTGTACAATGTGACGGAACATATTTTGTGCATCCTCCCAATTTAAGAACTAAATTTTATATTAGTTCTAACCGTCTCCCCTCATTTTGCAATTACTTACTATTATCCCCCATGAAAAAAAATTTCAGCTCCACCGAGCCCTCGCGCCCCGAGCACTGAACCCTTAAGCTTATAACACTGAACCCTCTAGCCCCTAGACCTGAATTCCCAAGTTCCTCCCGCAGACCCCCAGACCCCCAGACCCTCAGACGCCCAGACCCATACAACTCAGCACTTCACACAGATAATACGAGGGAAAGGTACTTAAGTATACAGCAACTCAGAACTTCACACAGATAATTCAAATACAATATTCAATTTCGCGCGTTTTAAACTCAGGTCTAAGAATTGGACTAAGTTTCGTGAACGAATGGTATTTGATAAGGTAACCAAAATATCGTATGATTTAGTCAATATCGTTGTTGTTGAGCGCTACCGGAGTAAAGCAATTGTTGGGTTAAAGATAAATTTCTGCTTTTAGAGATTACCGGGAATTTACCACACATTGGTTAAGAAATAGTTAGTCATTTAAAAACAATGTTTAGATGACTAACATTGATAACTAACATGTTTAGATAACTAACATTGAGTATTGAAAAGTTTGAGATGTTTTTTTCAGATTATTGAACCCAGGCTTAATAATTCCTGTCATTTAGAATCTATTATCTCAAATCCCGTCGTTTTCGTAATCCCGTTGAAAATAAAAAAGCTTGTGTATTCTAATAAAATGTAGAACAATTCAAACCCACATTTTACATGGAACATAGAGCTCCCATTTTATTCTAATTTCAAAATCTAATAAACATCTTCACTTCCATAATTCCCTATGTTCTCCCCTTAACCATAATAGGTAATAATTAACTTGACCTTTCTGTAAACTAGCGATCGACAGCTCACTCGTCGAATGCTCGTCTGAGCATTCAAAACCCATGCGATCGATGATCTGCCTAAGAAATGATGATATAATCTGATTAACTATTCGCATTCAAAATTATCTTATCTGCAGCCAGCGAAAGTTAAATTCCTCTAATGAAATTATATATAACTTCTATTTTGTTCTATATTCAGAAACATTACCAGTTAATATTTTTAAACTTTCAATTCTGAAAATATGCTTCAGAATTGTATGCTTGTATTGTATGTTTCAGAATTGTATCGCCATGTATGCAAAAGATTCCACAATACTAAAGATAACTTGAAATAAAACCACGTAATTCCAAACTCCCGAAAAAGTGTTATTTAAACTCCCCAAATGACATGAAATCTTCCCGGAAATTTATGTATGCGAATTTTTTTTTATAAAATATTTTATTTAGATTTTCGAAAGTGGAAATTCATATTTGTGTCGATATATGTGATTAGGAGTACAAACACGAATAAAAAATTTTTTTGACACGTTGAGCGATAAGATTAGCAGATACAAAATAGTCAATGAAAAATTTAACTTAGTACTCACTGCAGTGAGTGACAGAGAGCGCATTTTCTCGTCGACGAAAACGTGGTTACGGACAGACAGACGGACAGACGGACGGACAAGACGAGCACAATAGCGCCTTTTTCCACAAATGAGAAAATGCGCTAAAAATACTCTTTGAAAAGCAGACAAACCTATTCATTTCCTTATAATTAATTTCTTGTGTCAATTAATTTATTGTAATTTATTCTAAAATTGTACTGCTATATTGCTTTATTGTACTGCTAAATTTATTGTAATAAATATCATAGACATCTCTGACCTGGGCCGGTAAGTGCAGGAAGCTGGTGATGTCGAGCCCGACGTCAGGCAAATGACTCTTGGGCGTCAGGAAGTTGAGGAAGCGTGCGTCTGAGAGCTTCGCTGCCAGGATCTTGTTGGCTGCAGGGATGCATCTCAGGTGGCTCTCGTACAGACCGAGCAGCTCGGTCAGCTGATCATACATCAATATTTACATTAATCATTAAATGATAAGTCAGACAGTACATGTTGTTCTTCGCTGCCAGTATCTTGTTGGCTACAGGGATGCATCTCAGGTGCGCCTCGTACAGACCGAGCAGCTCGGTCAGCTGATCATATATCAATATTAATATTAATCATTAAATAATAAGTCAGACAGTACATGTTGTTTTTCGCTGCCAGGATCTTGTTGGCTACAGGGATGCATCTCAGGTGCGCCTCGTACAGACAAAGCAGCTGGGTCAGCTGATCACACATCAATATTAACGATGATAATTAGATAATTAGTCAGTCAGTGCACTTAGTTTCTTGGCACCACTACAAACTGAAGATAATTGATATTAAAAATAAAGTGGCGCGTCTGCCGCCCTTCACACGCCCATAACTCGCCTCCGAACACCCATCGTCGCCGCCCGTCGTCCAGCTCGAAAGGCTGGAAACGCGCGCCATAGAAAGGATATAGATTATTGATTTTATTTATTATTAATCTTGCAGTAAATATCTACGATAGGATTGGGCCCTATAATCCTCGAAGACAGGCAGTCAAAGACATGGAATGGGGCTGTTCCATATTAGCACCGAAGACAGACAGTCAACGACAGATAATAATAAAATGCAAGGATACTCTCGAAGTTATTCATTCCAAAGAATACAATTGAGTTGGCAAGATGATCGTATTGTGGATGCGACTAAATTGATAGCCGTGAAATTGACATCGTGCATCTCTGAAGCAATCTGAAATGCAGACGAACAAATTCAGTTGCAAATTAATAAAAAGTTGATATGAATCTAGGTTAACACAGACGAGTCTGGCAGCAAGACTCACCTCAGTGAACCTGGTGAAGACGAGTCTGGCAGCAAGACTCACCGCAGCGAACCTGGTGAAGACGAGTCTGGCAGCAAGACTCACCTCAGTGAACCTGGTGAAGACGAGTCTGGCAGCAAGACTCACCTCAGTGAACCTGGTGAAGACGAGTCTGGCAGCAAGACTCACCTCAGTGAACCTGGTGAAGACGAGTCTGGCAGCAAGACTCACCTCAGTGAACCTGGTGAAGACGAGTCTGGCAGCAAGACTCACCTCAGTGAACCTGGTGAAGACGAGTCTGGCAGCAAGACTCACCTCAGTGAACCTGGTGAAGACGAGTCTGGCAGCAAGACTCACCTCAGTGAACCTGGTGAAGACGAGTCTGGCAGCAAGACTCACCTCAGTGAACCTGGTGAAGACGAGTCTGGCAGCAAGACTCACCTCAGTGAACCTGGTGAAGACGAGTCTGGCAGCAAGACTCACCTCAGTGAACCTGGTGAAGACGAGTCTGGCAGCAAGACTCACCTCAGTGAACCTGGTGAAGACGAGTCTGGCAGCAAGACTCACCTCAGTGAACCTGGTGAAGACGAGTCTGGCAGCAAGACTCACCTCAGTGAACCTGGTGAAGACGAGTCTGGCAGCAAGACTCACCTCAGTGAACCTGGNGCCAGCGAAAGTTAAATTCCTCTAATGAAATTATATATAACTTCTATTTTGTTCTATATTCAGAAACATTACCAGTTAATATTTTTAAACTTTCAATTCTGAAAATATGCTTCAGAATAAAATCACGGATTAGCGCGGCGATCGTCATGTATCCAAAAAATTCCACAATACTAAAGATAACTTTAAATAAAACCACGTGCTTCCAAATTCTCGAAAAAGTTTTATTTAAACTCCCCAAATGAGATGAAATCTTGCCAGAAATTCATCTATGCGAGACAATTTTTTTTAATATATTCGTTAGATTTTCGAAAGTTAAGATTCATATTTGTGCCGATATATTCAGTTAGTAGTACAAACACTGGTAAGAAATTATTTGTCGCGTTGATCGATAAATTTAACAAATACAAAGATACTAATCAATGAAAAAATACTCCTGGACAAGCAGACAAACCTATTCATTATGCTTTAATAAATTTCCTACGTGTTGGCCGTAAAATTTATTGTAATAAATATCATAGATATCCCTAACCTGAGCCGGTAAGTGCAGGAAGCTGGTGATGTCGAGGCCGACGTCAGGCAAATGATTCTTGGGCGTCAGGAAGCTGAGGAAGCGCGCGTCTGAGAGCTTCGCTGCCAGGATCTTGTTGGCTACAGGGATGCACCTGAGGTGCGCCTCGTACAGACCGAGCAGCTGGGTCAGCTGATCAAACATCTATATTAATATTAATCATTAAATAATAAGTCAGACAGTACATGTTGTTCTTCGCTGCCAGGATCTTGTTGGCTACAGGGATGCATGACAGGTGGCTCTCGTACAGACCGAGCAGCTGGGTCAGCTGATCATATATCAATATTAACGATGATAATTAGATAATTAGTCAGTCAGTGCACTTAGTTTCTTGGCACCACTACAAACTGAAGATAATTGATATTAACAATAAATTTGTCTGTGTATCTCAATAGTTTTCACCCAAACAAAATAAGGATTAGTGGTATGAGCTATAGACAAGTTATTATCCATCGTTACTGACACACAAAGTATAAAATAATAATAATATTTATTGAGAGCAATATATCAGTCCGTGCAAATTAATGATTTATACCGCAAATACAATTCACCTGCATTTGATTCAAGTAATTAGCTAGCAAATGAAGAGTACTGAACGCTTCAGAGTTTGTTTCAATTACCACAGCTAAAAATTATACGAGTAAATTATTTTGAACCTGTATGAAAAATCAAAGATTCGTATAAATAGATGATAATTCTCCTAATACAGTATATACAAAAATTTTCGTGTAAACTGTTATTCAACTTCATCCTTAAAGAAAATAATTTAGTAATTTTTTTCGATTAAAATTAAATGCTGTATTAGGCAAACAACAATTGTAGAAATAGCATTCAATAATATATTTACGAGGAGACGGTACTTAATAGTTAGGCTTAAGCTATAATTAAGTCAGCAAAAGTTAAAGAAAACTTAATTAAACTAGATACTAGTTGTAACATGTAAATTAATCAAATAATAATCAATAATAATCCAATATGTTAATCCAGCCTAGCAATGATCACGCACAAGTGGGTAGTAGGCTGTGCCGACGGCCCGCCTGCAGGCGGCTGGGAGCTCACAGTCCTCGGCAGGCGAGGTCGCCTGGACGCTGCAGGCGACGTCTGCACAGGCGGTCGCCTGCAGACGCTGCACCAGCGCCTCGGTGACGCTCACCAGCTGCGAATAAATCAATGAATGTTGATACGAAGAAAATTGTTGAGTAACGGGTAGAATAACTCGACTCTTATAGGAGCTTACTGTTGAGATAACGGTTAGAACAGTGGTTCCCCAAGTGGGCGATATCGCCCCCTTAGGGGCGATGGAAAGATTTTGGGGGGCGGTAAGGAAGAAGAGGGCGTTTGGGGGGCGATAGGGGGGCGACAATCCGAAGTCGAAGTCAGAAGTTCGAAAGTTTGTTTGACGATTTGTACACAACACGTGCCTGTCTCTTATACACATCTAGATGTGTATAAGAGACAGATGCAGAACTGGGACCACGTGCTCTCCGTCTTGGAAAGCGTGAACCTCTCCATCAAAAACGTGCGCGACATAGTCAGCGACGGGCGCCGAGTGCGGTCCTGGAGCGTCGACGGACATGCCAAATTCTATCGCCAAACACTCATGTTCAGCGCCGCTATTGATGACCTGCAGCGTGCCTTATTCAGCCGCTCCTGTAACTTCGCTGGTCGCTTCGAAGTGCTGCCTNGAGGCGTATGTCTGTGGGGGGCGCTAGAAATTCACTAGGGAGCCAAAGGGGGCGCCAGCCTGAAAAAGTTTGGGAACCACTGGGTTAGAATAACCCGACTCTAGATTATTGTTGAGATAACGAGTAGAATAACTCGACTCTAGATTATTGTTGAGATAACGGGCAGAATAACTCGACTCTAGGAGCTTACTGCTGAGATAACGGGTAGTATAACGGTAATTGGTAACAACCATATAATTGTGGTTGACTGTCCTAATTTCTAGTGTAAATCTTAGCCACGCACCTCTTGCACCTGCGAGAAGAGCTGCTGGTGCTCCAGTTCGGTGATCAGGTCTGGCATGAAATTCAAGGGAATCACGTAACGCTCGACGCCTCGACGAGCGTCACGAGCGAATGCTTTCTCGGCGAGCAGCAGCTTCCTGCGAGCAGGATTCTGCTCGTGCTGCATCCTGCAGCCGCTGCTTAGGAGGGCAGGAGTTGTGGTTGGCGACCAGCGCTGAGAGACGAAGACAAATTATTTGTTGTAAAATGTTGTAAAATTGAGTTAATTTAATCACATATTTAGGAATTGTTCACAGATATTGTCACGTCAAGATTTTTTAATAGACGAAAAAATGTTATTACAGCGCGATTCTATTATGATAAGCCTATAATATTGTCAATGGAGTAGTAACAAAGGGAGTGGTACTCAGCTGAATTTAGTAGCGTCCAAATAATTTATACGATGAATAAGGGGAAATTTTCTGCTGAATTACATGTGGTTATTCCCACTAATTTTCCTAATTGCAACGTCAATATAGTATTTAAGGCTATTACGTTAATGTGTTTTCTGCCATGCGGAGTTTGTTCCTAGGCGCCTCCATTAAATTATTTCAAGGCTGAATTTTTCTTATTTCACTGTACACGCAATATTAGATCTCATGCTCACAAATCTTTTATTCATTTAGATTATAGTACGTGCAGTCGCATACACAAATGATTCCATTATATCAATTTCTTAACACTTCGCCCATCAAAATTCGGTAGAATTTTTGCCTATAGCAGTGCGGTACGACCGACTAGGGCAGCCACATGGCCTAAAAACGGCCAAGTCCGCGGACAAAATAGGCCTAATAGTCAATATTTAATAGTAAATTTGTAGGTTCCGGTGCAAAAATTCGATTTCCTTTTTTCCGTACTGTCTAAAGTTTAATAAGGATGTATCACCGCCATAAACTTTTGTCGGCCAATTCGATAGAAAAAAATTAAATCGTCCGGAAAAAAACCTTGCAACCCACCGGCGGGTCGCGCCGCAGTCAACGTGTTAATACATAGTGACGGATGAATAATTTTATTATTCAGTAAATCCGCAATTAATTCTGTCAGTGCGGCTCCTGGCAACAACTCCCAAAATGCCTTATGGGCTTATGCAAACATCAAAAGCACAATTTTCGAAAATGACAAGACACTCTAAGCCATATTCTTGATAACATACAGTGGGGGGAAATAAATATTCGTACGCTTGAAAAATCGTATTTTAATGTATGTAAGTACACAAACTTAACAGGAAAAGTGATTTAAATTATAACACGCAATATTAGATCTCATGCTCACAAATCTTTTATTCATTTAGATTATAGTACGTGCAGTCGCATACACAAATGATTCCATTATATCAATTTGTTAACACTTCGCCCATCAAAATTCCGTATAATTTTTGCCTATAGCAGTGCGGTACGACCGACTAGGGCAGCCACATGGCCTAAAAACGGCCAAGTCCGCGGACAAAATTGGCCTATAAGTCAATATTTACTAGTAAATTTGTAGGTTCCGGTGCAAAAATTCGATTTCCTTTTTTTCCGTACTGTTTAATGTTTAAGAAGGATGTAACACCGCCATAAACTCCTGTCGGCCAACTCGATAGAAAAAAAAACTAATTCGCGGACTTTGTCCGGAACAAAAGACCTTGCAACCCACCGGTGGGTCGCGCCGCAGTCAACGTGATAATACGTAGTGACGGATGAATAATTTATTTATTATTATTCAGTAAATCCGCAATTAATTCTGTCAGTGCGGCTCCTGGCAACAACTCCCAAAATGCCTTATGCAAACGTCAAAGGCACAATTTTTGAAAATGACAAGACACTCCAAACCATATTCTTGATAACATGTATTGTAATGATTGAAATTCTGAGTTTAGGTTTCTCCATTCAACCGATATCATAGAATTATGAGCTTTGAGATTTTAGCAATTTGTTCAAAATTTTTATTTAAACCGCAGCCAAGCCACGAATTCAAGCAATGAATGATAATTAAATTTCATATTACATATGTTATTTTCAATTTTTGACCGTGCAAATCTCCCTCATAAGTACAGTGGTTGAGTGCACATCTCCCTAAACGAAATCTCTTGAACAAAGCGTATGCCAAATCAATCTAAAATAATAAATATTATGGAGCTATACCATGAAAATTGCAAGAATTATGTATTGCAAGGCACATTTATTTGAAGTTACTGTAGGAAATAAAGCCCATTCGCCCTCTCCGTGTCCAGCATTATTGCTGTGATGGTCCACATATGCATGGCTCAACGTGCTTGGCGTGCGCCTCGGCGGCGGGAGATAAAAATCATGAATTTTGATATAAATATAACAGTTATGAATATAAACCCTGTAAGAAAATAAATCTCTTCGGGCTCGAGTGAGATGTGTTCCCTACAACCATGAACTTTCAAATACTCTCCAAAGAATAACACGCCATATAAGAAATCTGACTAATTTGACTGCGCCCGAAATTTGAAATAAAATCTGGACGACCGTGACCTTTTAAAGTTTAGTGCATCAAATGAAATTTGCTTGTAGTCAGCGTATATCTAATTTTAAAATTTTTCTAGTTTGAAATAATGAGACATTTTTTCCGGCAAGCTCCATCAGGAATGTACCCTTCTCTATTTCATTAGAAGCCAGAGGCATTAATGTGTAAATTGCATGCGGTTATCGAGCGACATTTTACCCACTACATTGTTACCTAAAGCCTGAGGGGAAACATAACTGACTATGCAGACGTGAACTTTCATCTAAAGTATATTTTTACGAGCAATTTCGTGACACGCCAATCCCTCGCCACACCATTGGCCGAGCAAACAAGCTTTTTGCGAGCGTGTAAGCCAGCGAGCCAAAGTAAACGCAGCGGAAAGAGATATCGACTAGTGTATAGTGTGTATATATATAAGAGATATCGACTTGTGTATACGGTCCACAGGTTCGATGCCACGCCTTGGGCTGCGGTGTAAAATGTCCTAAAACTTTCCTGAAAAATTAATTTAGTTGGACGGGACTTGCTATCGTCCAAAGCTTTTTAAGCGGTGGGTGATTTATGTAGCCCTGCTCATCCGTTGATTGAAGCTATTTTGCTCAAAGTTTCTCGGCATTGTTAAGTGTTGGATGTCGACCATTTTAATTGTGTCGAATGGAAAAAACTTGTTCATATGAGCTTACTTATAAAGTTAAAATTATAATAAATGTACAGTTGGAACGTAAAGGTCGTAATTTATATATTGCTTCAAAACAATCGACCCGAGCAATGCATGAAATATCTCTCATCATTTAGTGATTGTGTTCGTATTTAAATTTTAATATTAATCGACTTCTTCAAATAGCAATTGATAGTCACTTTGCCTAAACTAATGTGAACGAAATCATTAATTAACAATTACCATGTAATTTGTGTAATTGATTACCATAGCATTCTGAGAGTAAATTGCACAGGATGGGTGATATTTTCGGCACAAGATGTTCCAGCAGATCTCTGATGTTCTGTCTTACAAGTGAGTCGGATGTCAGTGGAGGCGACTTTTAGGCTACTGACGGTACTCTAGTCACCAGGCAGCTAGTTACTAACGACAATGAAAAAATAGTAATGTGTCAGTAGAAGAAAGGCTAAAATACATACTCCTTGATAACGTCAATTGCCTCCTGACATCCTGCAATGGACTTTCCTGCAATGGACTTTCCTGCAACGGACTTTCCTGCAATGGACTTTCCTGCAATGGACTTTACTGCAATGGACTTTATGGCAATGGACTTTACTGCAATGGACTTTCCTGCAATGGACTTTCCTGCAATGGACTTTACTGCAATGGACTTTACCGCAATGGACTTTCCTGCAACGGACTTTCCTGCAATGGACTTTCCTGCAATGGACTTTACCGCAATGGACTTTACGGCAATGGAATTTACAGCGATGGACTTTACTGCAATGGACGAGGCAGGAACATAAAACTGGAATGTTTTCCACTTAGCAACTTCAGTGAATATGAAACAGCGAAAGAAGCATATTGACGAAATGAATAATGCAGTGAACGTAAGGTCTATAATTTGATTATTTTCGCAGCAATACAAAATCTAAAGCTATTGTTGTGAATTGACTGAAACCATCCAATAAATGAACGCCACTTCGAACTTTCAGTGAACGCCACCTATAACTTTCAAAATGAACTCGCATTGAAACGAACTCAATTCATGAAATGAATAGTTAATTTTGTACGTTTTCAACGGTACAGGGAGACGCAGGTTATAAGCGGAGGAAGAAGCGCAAAAGCACACGCCAGGAAATGTGCGAAATAAAACATGATGAACACTAACCTATCGCTCATTAATTGTATGCACTGGCAGTAGTTTGTAGAAAAATGTCTGAAGTGTCGGATGAGCGATGAATTAGATTTTAAATATTCTCAAAACCAAAGTATTTTTGCCATAATTTTTTACCGATGGAACTCATTAGTTGCGTAAATTTCTGACACGTATTAATAACTATTACCCAAACAAATGACTAAATAAATTAAAGGATTGGCAAATAAAAGAACACAAAAATACTTCATGATATGTACTGTATACTCAAGCTATAAAACAAATCTCTTGAATGGCATTTACAAATTAAATTATTTACGATTAAAATAATGACTCGATATATTAGTCATAAGGAAAAAAATACAAATGTAGGAAATTACCGAAATTAAAAATACTTTAATAATGAGTACAACAAAACAGAGGAAACATAAAATACCGAACAGAAGTAAAATGTTTCAAATTTGTATATAGTTACAGAAAGCAATAGAGATCAAAGAGTTGAAAGGAGACAGACAAAAATCAAAGAATAATAAGAGTAACGTTTGAGCAATTCAGTACACCTAAGAAAAGCTTAAAGCTGCAAAAAGTGCAAATTTTAAAATAATTCTTACTGGCAGCACAAATATACCTACAGCAAAATATCAGGAGGAAAATAAATTAGAAAGCGATGTGGTTTGAAGAAGGATTGAGCATATTAAATAATTTAAAAATCACATATAAATAGCAAGATAATTTGAACGCAAATCGCAACGAGTTTATGACAGCGTGTTGGGCAGCGTATAGTCAGACTGCGCATCAAGCGTATAGTCAGACTGCGCATCAAGCGTATAGTCAGACTAGTATCAAGCGTATAGTCAGACTGCGCATCAAGCGTATAGTCAGACTGCGCATCAAGCGTATAGTCAGACTGCGCATCAAGCGTATAGTCAGACTGAGTGTGTCACAAGTTGAATGGTCAAGAGCAATGCTGGCTCCACCAAAAATTTGGATCGTTAGAGTTAGATTGTTCACAACGCAAGTAAAGGTAATTGTTGTCATCTGATAGGAAAACGGCAAATTGAGTGAGATCCATTACATCATAACAGTCAAATGAAAATGAACAAAGTAAATAATTAGTACATTAGAAAATTTAACTTAATTTAGGATAGTGCGGTACAAAGATTGCAAACATAAGCATTAAAATAACTGTGGAATAAATAGATAGGAACAGAGATGACGACCCGCAAATGTTTTTGGTTGAAGCGATATTAATTAAATTCAACTAGAAGCAACTAAATTTGTAACATTAAAACCGAAATCAGAAAAATGTTTTCATTCATTCATATTTTTTGGGCGTAAGATTTTTAGCCATAATATAAAAAGTCAAACTTTTCGAAGTTAAAAGTTCGTCACAACCAGTTTGAGCAACGACTGTTTTCATAAAAAAGTACACTAATAAAATTGGAAATTAAAATGACGCAGCTAGATAACTTCTAAAACTTCCATAAACAATTTTTTAAGATTCATTTATAAACTTAAAATGTTGTGAGGCAGAAGCACAAGGCGGATCGAAGTGAGCACTTACACGTTTTAATTTATTGATTTTAAAGCGATACTGCATGGAACTCAACTGCGTCAAGTGAGCCTAAATATTACCAATGATTTTACTGGCCCGCGTTACGAAGAATACGTTGGAAAAACGCATTTTGAACAAGCAAGACAAACTTTATCTTAACTTGAAAATCTCTACAACAGTCCAACAACCAGGCAGTGCTTATGCACGTAAGTGCGCAGTGCTTGTACCTTCTCGTTCCTAAACTCTGCTCTAGGAAGTTGAGCCACATTTGCACTACAGGATATTTCGGCTAAACGTGCGCCATAAAACTTGGAATACTTATTTCGTCATCTAAACATGACTTAAACGTTCAAAATATTTGGGCTAAAACTGCTGCAGTTGTACTAATACGGTCACACCAGCAGCACGACAGCTGCACTACAGCTGTCACACCTGCAGCACGACAGCTGCACTACAGCGGTCACACCTGCAGCACGACAGCTGCACTACAGCTGTCACACCTGCAGCACGGCAGCTGCACTACAGCGGTCACACCTGCAGCACGGCAGCTGCACTACAGCGGTCACACCTGCAGCACAGCAGCTGCACATCACACCTGCAGCACGGCAGCTGCACTACAGCGGTCACACCTGCAGCACGGCGCTGAGGTAAGGTTTGGTCACCTGCTGGAAGCGTTCATGGTGCCGTGTCGGGGACGCCAAGATGGCGGGGTATAGCTGCGCATGTTGCTGCAGCAGACAATTGTTGTTATAATACTGGCTAGATGGCGACGTCCGAGGGTTGTCTTCTGCCGACTGCCATCGACGTCGGTCTTTAGTTTGGAATGTTTGGCTGGAAGGAGCAGTGCTCGTGGAATATGTTAGACATGACTGTTGGTTGCAGCTAAATGAAGGGTCCGTGAGTCCAGGCTGCTGCTGGAACAACGAGCGGCGGGAGGGCAGGCTTGGGGGACCCGCTGTGACGCCCTTACGGTATACCTCCAGCAGTAGCTCCTCACCGCTGTCCCTGCGGCCAAAATTCATGGTAAGTGAAATTTCGTAAATTCATTTCGTAATTCAGTAAATGAATTTCGTAAATTCATTAAACGAGGTGACAAATGCAGCAAAGCTTATCAAGACAAAATGCTTATTCCAAAGATTTTTCCTTTATTCTTTTCGTAATTTGTCTCGTAGTTACGGACTGCAAGCTCTTAGATGATCATTTAAAGATGAGTTTTGGCCTGAACGATAGAATGATATCCATATAACTTTCTTCCAAGGCACGTATGAGCATAGAAATACAAACATTTAAAATAGATGCGCAATACCAATAAATGAACAGGAAACATAATTCCTAACACATCATGAACAACCTACTGATTTGGAATGGATCCTTGAAGAACAACTTACATGATGGCGGCCATGACTTCTTTCTCATGCATGCGCACGACGTTGCGGTTGCCAACGAAGATAAGATAATCGCCCGGTAGAAGTCCCGCCGCGGCAGCCGGCAGGCCGGCGTCGACGCGCTCGACGCGCGGAGGCCGCGACCACGACACGGAGAAGCCAAAGCCGCCGGCGCCGCGCGGCACGCGCACTGACAGCGTGTACGGCGTCTGGCCCGTAGCTGCCTCGCCGCCCCAGCCCGCCTCACGCGTGGAGACACTTGCACCTGATGGATGTTGTCGAATGGGGTGAAAAATCTTGAAAATGTGATGTGTTCATCGCCGGCGCCGTTGCAGATGCACTTATTTTTCAATGCTCTATATAAGGATGCTGCTGCCTCGCTGCCCCAGCCTGCCTCACGCGTGGAGACACTTGCACCTGATGCATATTGTCGAATGGGGTGGAAAAAAAAATCTTGAACATGTGATGCGTTCATGAGTATATTACTTGCAAAAGCACTTATTTTTAAATGCTCTATATAAGGTTGCTGCTGCCTCCCCGCCCCAGCCCGCCTCTCGCGCGGAGGCACTTGCACCTGATGCATATTGTCGAATGGGGTGAAAAATCTTGAACACGTGATGCGTTCATGAGTATATAAGTTGCAAATGGAGTTATTTTTCAATGCTCTATGAGGCTGAATTACTTATATGTAGATGAAGAAATTATCACTAGTACGGCCGGTATATGCCTTATACAGGAATACTTGGATTAATATTTCAGGAATAGATGAATTCAGCGTATAGCCCTATAGCGCATGCATTTTGCATGACAGCATCGTTTCCATAGCCATAATGAATTCATCATGAAAATCATTTGTAACGAAATATTTAAATGAAAATGTGCTGAATTTCAGCAATTAAGTTTTAGTAAGATTTGCAAGCTAACCTACAATAAAAAAATATAAATTTCTTGGATTTACCACCTTGAAAATGCATTAAGACGGTTGAATATGATATCTATGGGTCTATTTTTTTAGCAGTTCTAAGAACTAATCTATAAGCAAAACTGAGCAATTGCTCGCAGTAATTATCAATGATCTTTAGACATTTGTGTCGCTGTAAAAACTATATAGAACAGCTAATATGGCAGTTAGAGAAACAAACAGCATCAACTTTGAAAGAATTCCTGTTGCAAACAAGTGGCGTCACATTCATCCCACTGCAAATGCAAGTTACCAATTAAACATCGAACTGATAAAAAAACTATTATCCATTGCGGGATAGTTATAGTAGCCAGCATATTTCGCTGGTTTATTTTTATTTATATTTATTTAATTTATTTATTTATATCTGCATATATTATATCTAAAAACCAGCATCATGCTGGATGCATGCAAGTACAGAGGCTTGGGAGGAAAATACAGCTTACCGACAGCAGAGACCTGGTGGTGCCGCCTCGGCGATGTCGGCGACTCGGAGTCTTGTTGGCTATCTGGTCTCGATCCAACTGCAACAGTGAGATGTATTTTTAATTGTCAATATTTTCCAAGTCAATAAATTCTGAAAGCCTAGTACAAAGTACGTATTTTAAGGTTAAGCATTAAAGAAAATTATCGATGCCCTTTAAACCTTAAACTGTCGCCGCTCATATAAAACACAACAATCGCCTTAAATTGTCGCCTCGCCAACGACACTAGAATCGAATCATGCATATTAATACGAGAATTTATTCATTAGAAGGTATTAAGTTTGAGGTTAAAATATAAAATGCTCGCTTATGTAAATTATTTTCAAATAGCTACAGAATTCTCAACACCAGCAAGCAGCAGCGCAGTACATTAAACATGTGCAGCCGTTGCACCTGACAGTAAACATGCTATGATATTTAATTAAGTCGCTCGACACCTGCTCTCCCGAGAACATGCGAGGCGCTCCTAAATCTAGAAATCTGTAAGAGTTCCAAGCTAAGAAAATTGTGTAGAATAAGATTTTGAGATCCAAAAGCAATTTGCAGAGTCGCGCCTCGCAGCTAAGCAAGTTAGCGACCGCGTTGGGCCAAGCAAATTCGTATGCGACTCTCGCCTCTTAGCTCCCTGCAGGCTCGCCAAGATGTCAATAATCTACGCAATCTCACATTTCCTGGCTCAGGAAATCTAGAACTGAGGCGGCTTCCTTGTTTTTGTTCATTTCTTTATTTTGTTTATTGTAGTTCTTGTGACGAAATTGTATTTATATATGCCAGAGCACCATGACGCTCTGCATTAGCCTCAGTTACATTATAATCTTTAAAGAATTGAATAAATAACTTTTAACTTAATATGCCTTTCTTCCTGATGACGAGTAATAACTTCCTGTGTAGTTCAACAAAGAGTCTCATCATGAACGCTTAATTACAACAGACTTGAAGTAACAAAAAATGCTAATTTGGTAACAAGAAAAAACTTGCGGAGAACCAATGGCATCACAAGAAAAATTGACGCGTATAACACATCCAGAACATTCTGGAATCATCTTAATATTTCGAAACGGCTATCCATTTATTCAAACAGGAGAATTTACTAAATTAAATTATTGTCGGAAATAAACTTGCGCTTATCCTGTAAAATTCATCTTCAAAAGTCGGCGGCTAAGACTTCACAAATCAATATCATTTATTGAAATATTCTGAGTTCTAGTGGAAAACAAGAACTTCGCTCAATAAAGTTCTGCGTAAGTTTATATAACGTTGCACAATGCTCGGATATTTCGAATTCTAGTGGAAAACGAGAACATGATCTAAAAAATTTTGAATATATTCATAATAAGTTGCTCCATTTCAAAATATTCTGAATTCTGTTCTGTTTTGATCGACATTAAACCATTTAAACGCAATTCACGAGAGTAATTCATCATTCATTTCTTTTCCAGACTAAACGTGCACAAATGTTGCTGGCGGTGGCCCCATGACAGGCCTGGCCGCGTGCTGCTCTAAACAAGCAGTAAATATTCATGGAGGGTCGCAGTCATCGATACTCGAGGCGGCGGCGAGCCAGGCATGCACAACTTCATCGTAAATCTCATCGATTTATGCAAGCCAAAAAAAAGCCCGACAAATGAACGAATGAAACATTTTTCATTTTACACATCAAACACAAAATTTAAAATCCATAACATAACAAATATCTTCTCTTCTCATTAAAAGAACAATAGAACACTATACGTGCAACATTTCTATGAACAGCACAACACTGCCATCCCTTGAGGCTGCAACTCATGACGTGGAAATTGTGCAACAATGACGTGGAAATTGTGCAACGATGACGTGGAAATTATGCAACCGGAAATTGCGGAAATTTTGTGATGACGTGAAAATTATGAAACTCATCACTAGGTACTAGCGAAGCTTCCTGATTATGGAAGCTATACAAAAAAATTAAACGTGTAACGTCACATCACTTGTCCCACTGTGACTAATAACGATCACATACGGTATAGTAAAAATTTATTACGATAACAACAGACAGGCCTATGAGAGTGTTGCAACATTGCGCAGTGCAACACACGTGTTGGCAACATGAGGTCTAAAGGCAAGGAAATGATCATATCAGCGACACAGGAGGAGCTAGAGGTATGCACGTGTTTCTTCGTAAGGCTTCTCAAACTTCTTTCATTTCGTTAGGTTCGCTGACTGAATATTTGTACTTGTTTGACGTGAAAATAATTTTAGTACATTTTATACCTTTTATACCTTTTAGTGAAATCTCCATCGAGCCGGCAACTTTATCAAATACAGTGACTCACTATATTAAATTTTAAATATATTAAACATGTAACTAATTACAGTATAAGAATATTCATCAAAATAAGGATTTAAATTGTAAAATTTATCAAAAAATGGTTAGATAGCATACAATGCAGAAAATTAAAAGTTTAGATTACAAATAATTTGCCAAAATTATGTCCTAAATGGGATACAATAAATCAAAATATGGGCTTATTTACCATAAAAATATATCGAAATAACGATCACCGACACGTATAATCAATTAATTAATCACCTGCATCAATTAATTAATCACCTGCATCAATCAATTAATCACCTGTATCAATTAATTAATCACCTGCATCAATCAATTAATCACCTGCATCAATTAATTAATCACCTACATCAATCAATTAATTACCTGCATCAATTAATTAATCACCTGCATCAATTAATTAATCACATGCATCAATTAATTAATCACCTGCATCAATTAATTAATCACCTGCATCAATTAATTAATCACCTACATCAATTAATTAATCACATGCATCAATTAATTAATCACCTACACCAATCAATTAATCACCTGCAGGTCTGATGGGCGAGGGCGGAGGAGCAGCGAAGTGCTTACGGCGACCCACGGCCTCCGTCAGCAGCCGGAACCATCCGTGCACCTTCTGTCACCAAACATACTTTATTATTTTCAACATTTTCACTATAATAATTATGATTCGTAGTTGTTACATCTTATTTATTGACGCTACTAGCGTATTGTGAACGAGCTATATATGATTGAGGTGTTATGAGCGCATTTTCTCATTTATGGAAAAATGCGCTATTGTGCTCGCCATGTCCGTCTGTACGTCCGTCCGTCTGTCTTCTGTCTGTCAGTCCGTGACTTCACGTTTTCGTCGACGAGAAAATGCGCTCTCTGTCACTCACTGCAGTGAGTACTGAGTTATATTTTTTAAAGCAGTGCAGGGGAAACCATAATATTATGATGGTAGGTGGTACTGATTTGATGCAAGTGTCGTGACGCTCCTATACGCCCAGGTTTATCAGTACTACCATTGTAAGTTACAAATACAATTTGAGACTCGATGATTTATAGTTATAGTTACTCTATACTCTACTATAATAATTATTTTCGATGATTTCCAGCAACTATTATGATAGAAAATTGAACATTAAACAAGAGAATTGTTTCAACGTTTCTAGCTGCATCGCTCCACCAAAATTGCTTTCAGAAGGCCGTACCACAGAACTGGCTTGGCGCAAGCTTCAAACTCGCTTTGAACAAATTTGAAAAAGATTTCAAAAAGGTTAGAGCAAGGATTAAACATTGTCGTAAAACAGTTTGCACAAAGTGCGAGGATGGTTAGGTTAGGTTTAAATAAGGTTTAAATCGTGTTTGAATATTGTCTGAACCACGCTAGAAACATGTTTACAACATGTTTGAAGAGCGTATTCATGTTCGGAGTTTCAAAGCCTAGTGAACGCAGATGGCTGCGTCTGTGAAATATTTTGAAATAAAAATGATCATGTTCAGGCTCTCGAGCAGGAAGTTTGTAATTAATTCAATTGGGGACGAAAAAAAGAACAAGACTTAACCTAATCGCTGGCATAAAACTTCATAGAGACAAACAAATAAGGTCAGTTGGCTATTCAAATTTTTCGTCAATTTTTAACCTACCAATAGTTGCGAAATGAAAAGTACTTCATAAATAATTCATTCTACTTGAAATATCAACTGACATCACAACACAAAATAATATAATCAAAGTATAATATTTGGAGTAATATCGTTACTGACCCTAAAAGTTTCATAGAATTGAGTTTGTTTCTTATAAATTATTCTATTATATTAATTATCAACGAAATTATGAAAAAGACATGTATAATAACCCAATTAATAACAATTACTGAAGAAACATTGTATAGTAACCCTGTCGATAACAATTAATGAACGAGCCTTTTATTATATATAGTAACCCCATTGATAACAATTACTGAACAAGCATTGTGTTATATATGGTAACCCCATTGATAGCAATTACTGAACAACCATTGTAAAATAACCCCATTAATAACAATTAATGAACGATCATTGTATTATATATAGTAACCCCATTGATAACAATTATGACGATCATTGTGTTATATATAGTAACCCCATTGATAGCAATTACTGAACAACCATTGTATAATAACCCCATTAATAACAATAATTTGAAATAAAAATGATCATGTTCAGGCTCTCGAGCAGGAAGTTTGTAATTAATTCAATTGGGGACTAAAAAAAGAATAAGACTTAAACTAATCACTAGCATAAAACTTCATAAAAAAATAATAATGTCAGTTGGCTAGTCAAACTTTTCGTCAATTTTAACCAACCAATAGGTGCGAAATGAATAGTACTGCCTAAATAACAATAGTATCGATACTGCCCTATCGATAATAGTACTGCCCTATCGATAACAATTAATGAACGAGCCTTTTATTGTATACAGTAACCCCATTGATAACAATTACTGAACAAGCATTGTGTTATATATAGTAACCCCATCAACAACAATTAATGAACGCTCATTGTATTATATATGGTAACCTCATTGATAGCAATTACTGAACAACCATTGTATAATAACCACATTAATAACAATTAATGAACGATCATTGTGTTATACATAGTAACCCCCATCGATAACAGTTAATGAACGATCATTGTGTTATATATAGTAACCCCATTGATGACAATTACTTAACAAGCATTGTATAGTAAACCCATCGATAACAATTAATGAACGAGCATTGAACAATGTAAGGTAACTTTACTCAAGAACAGAATAAAGTTGCTCAATTGGTCGGTATTCAAACCTCCGTTCCTGGGCCTGGTATGCTGAAGCACTCGCTTCAATGAATAAAATATGATTACAGAGCTAAAAATGTCGTATAAAACCAAAAAGTTATTCATATCAAAATTAGAAACGATGACAACAAGCCTATTCAAAAATGCCATTGTTCTCTCATTGTTCAGTTACTTTGCGAAAACCCCTTACAACAAACTGTAAAAATCTAAGCAGAAAATGTGTGAGCTAGATCTCATTTGATGAAAATAGGTTGCCACAAAGAATATTGTTTCAATTTATTTCATAAACAACGGATCTATATCATTTCAGATTAGACGAATAAAATCGTGTACAATTAATAAATGTGAACGGTTTTGCAGTGCTTACTGAAATTGAATTAGGATCCAATTATTTGAAACTTATAATTTATGGCTTTCGATAATCTTATAGTCCCTAACATTTGTTAAAAGTTGCTAATGTAACAAAATTAGCTTGTCTACTATTGAATGTGGTCTCCCAAGAGAGAAGAATTCTGTAGTCACCCAAGAAAGACGATTTCGCGTGCCAACGATTCGTTTAATTATCATAGGCTAATAATGGCAACTCACGGCGGCACTGCAGTGACGGTCAGTACCGCCTGCCACGTCCATATGGTCGTCTGGTGCGTGTGAACGCATGACGCGAGTGGCCAGTCCAGCGTAACTCGGTCCAGCGTAACTCGATCTGGCGTAACTCGGTCCAGCGTAACTCGGTCCAGCGTAACTCGTTCTGGGTTAACTCGTTCTGGGGTAACTTGGTCTAGCGTAACTCGGTCCAGCGTAACTCGGTCTGGCGTAACTCGGTCTGGGGTAACTCGGTCTGGCGTAACTCGGTCTGGGGTAACTCGGTCTGCGGCTTCAGCGCGCGCCAGGCGCTGAGAACCGAAGCTTCTTGCCAGAGTGAAGCTGCACCTGCAGCGCGCGGTGCGACATCTCGCGAGGCGGACCGAAGCGTGCGCGCGCCTAGCGCTTCAATCGGGATAGCACGCAATGCGCTGGAACCTATTCTAAACTACGAAGGATTTACCACGAAATTTAAGTAACCTTCCAGCACTAACAGTCAGCGTAAAATTAATCAGATTATCATTAGTTCAAGTTTGTGATAAAGAAGCACTTAATGATTAGACCAAACACACGACATTGAGTGGGCAAGAAGAAACCACTTATCCGCACCTGATCAAGCATTCTTGATTTCCGTATCTCGTTCATTTAAATTTTAGCCAAATGATTCACTAAACATCGCGTGAACTGCTTAACCACGTACGATAAGAATTAGTCTTCTCTGAGGAGCCTTAGTTTTCTCCCCAATATAGGCTCATGTTTTGGCTAGTTATTAAAATGAAGATAATTAAAAATCAAACCCGGTCCGATATAGGGTGGCAATGTAACATTGTTCATGCACCCTAATTATTTTTAGAATACGGCTCGAATGTTCTATGTGATGTCATAAATTCGTCAAAATAACTAAAGGCCTTTGAAGAAAAACAAAGGATATTTCCAGCAATTAATAATCAACTCTCTATCTTTTAATCGAAAAAAATTGAACTTGACATTTTATTTATCCTTCAACAATAGCTATGATTCACGATGCTGTTTAACTATAGTGCTTCTATGAAACGATATAAGTCAATGACCCAAACGTTTCCTCTTTATCGGTGGCAATCTATGAACAATTAAGGAGGAAGAACGAAGTTTGATTTTACGAAAAATAAAAATGCTCTACGGCAGCACAAAGCAACCCACTGGAAAACAATGTGCTGGAAAATAAACTCTTTATGACTACATGATTGAGAATTAATATTTCATCGTCAATAACCCTTGAAGTAAATTTACAGACGGGTTATCGGAGGCCTTTAGATGGCTGATTGTCGAGCGCGGCTCATAGAAGGCTCATGATAATTATCGAACGTTTATTATTATATTATTATCGTGGAACGTTATTATCGCCGAGAAAATGTTGGTAGACGTGGCCTGTATGCCGAGCATCAAATATCTTGACAGCCATTAATTATAACACGCGTCAATTAGAGCAGTGCTGGGAAGAAATTTTTAAGTCAGTTTTTGTAATCGGAAAAATTAGGTAGAGTTGGCTCGATAAAAGAAGATTTGTTGAAGACTATATAGAAAGTTTTCTAAACGATATTCTTACGGCTTTTTCGATTTTGCAAATTAGAATTTTAGTTTAATTTGTAAATTCGAAGATAAGATTTGCATTGTTTTGTATGAGGTTTTGAACAAACATATATTCTCTTAAGTATAATACAGATTTGCAACGCTTCAAGTAAAGATTAAGAAGTTAAGTAAAAATTTATTTCTTAATCTTCTTTTTCTTTATCTTAATCTCTAAATTAAGTATTTAGAAATTAATCTTTAAGTAAAGATTAAGAAAGTAAATACATTAGGTATAATTTGTCTCTCAATGAGTTCATGACCATGAGTATTGACAAGTATTGTTGAATACCGTCGATTAACAAAAGCAGCTTATATGATGTATGGTAATGTTTTTATGCTTTACATGAAAATTGGTCACGTTTGAATTTCTTCCTTTATTTAGAATTAAAATCTCCGATTTTTAAGATGGTTATAAACTTTACCACGCCAATTCATCATTGCATTATGAAAAAGTTTATATATTATACATACATAGTTTGTAAATATTTGCTTTTCGACTTTTTTCGTTTCTTGGGAGGCGAAAATGTTTATAAATTAATATATACTACTACATAATACTACATTAATGCATTACTTTCAATTAATTACAATTACTTTCATTATTTCACTTAACAATATGTACTGCACAGTGGCGAGAGCGCTAACTGGGCTCGCTAATAACCGCTAATTAAAAAATAATCAAAGTTCGTAAGAACAAGACGTTCGTAAGGCTCGTCCTTAAGAATACGCGCACGGGATAGTCAGGAGAACCTTGTTGATAACACAAAAAAGCTCTACCACTTAGACTGCCGATAACATCACCGGTTGGACCTTTGGCCTTGCAAATTAGCACGAGTAACGATCTCTAAAATTCGAAGTAATTATATAAAATTGACTTATCAAATTCAGCACTAGATATCGCACGAACTCAAGTCGAACAAGGGAATGGGAGAACTGCAGCCAAACTCTACGGGATCCGCACGCCTTCCTCCCGCGCGCTGCACTGCAGCATGACACCGAGGGCAGCCCTGGCTGGCTCACCCTCCCTCACTTCCCTCATGTTCTCTGCACCCACGCCTCTGTTCCCAGCAGCACCATGGAGCAACTTTCAAAAATTCAGTTGTTAAACGATCAATGCTCATTATTTATCATGGCTAAAATAAACTTGATGTTCTCGAACGGGAGGATACTCTGCAGCAGTGGGCAATTTAGGCGGTTTATGACTATACAGAGCCAAAAGTACACGATTATCGGCCAATTATCAATAGTTCAGGAGCATTAACGCTATTCAAGAATTTGAAGGTGTTTGAATATATGGCACAATCCTACATCCTTTATATATTGTACATGAGCCATTCTTGAGGATAAACTATTTCCAAGCAAGCACGATTCCAAAATGCCCTTCTCGAAATGTCACAAATGACCACACGAGCCATACTCAATATTTGCAATTTGACGATTGCATAACGGAAAACTACTTTCTGCACTGGCACCCGGCTAGCTTCGACTCGATGACGGATACCTTCAAGGGAATCTCATCCCAACCTCACTTGGTATAAAGAAAAACTAGAAAATCAGAAGACAGTTCCAAACATGGCGATCACCAGGATGACTATAGCTAAAGAAGGCGCAGCGCGCATAGAATGTAAATGCAGGATTAACGCTTGCATCAGTCTCTGCTATAACGAATTGCACACGCATTGTGTTAAAGGTGTTTGTAGAGAGAGCAACGTTCAATTTGCTGCTGATTTGGCGCTCAGTTTGATCAGATATATCATCTTAGAATTTTAAGATACTGATTACAATATGATTACAATAAATTAATCAGATAAATTCTCAAGTCCTTGTTAGCAACTAGAACAGTGGTCAGTATTCAACTTTCTGGATGAACGACTTACCGCATAAATTCAACCATCAAATTAGTAAATTGCTTACTATGCTACGCATACAAATTTTAGAAGTTATCCTGCCAGAATAACCAAAGTTTCGCACCAATGATAAAACAAATGTTCAGTGAAGCAATAAGGAACTGGTGCAGAATTTGTCGTACTAACCTTTGACAAAATGTGCCCGACGTTGAACGACATGCAGCCCAGGAACTCGCTCTTTCTGCACGACCAAAGGAAAGAAAACCTTTAGCGAACATCACGCATGAACACGTTAAATTGATCTGCATCGGACAGCTTTGGTGATAATTGTTAGAAAAAATTAAATATCGATTAAAATTACTGGTATTCTAAATGAAATGTGGCAATTAATTACGGTATTAAAATAAACCGTAAAACTTGTACTTCACATTCCCAAGAAAACAAAAAGAAAACACTGGCTTAACGTGGTGGCCTCTACTGCACGTTCACAAAGAACACATTCGCTTACCGTGATGGCCTCTACTGCACGTTCACAAGAACACACTCGCTTACCGTGATGGCCTCTGCTGCACGTTCACAAGAACACACTCGCTTATCGTGATGGCCTCTACTGCACGTTCACAAGAACACACTCGCTTATCGTGATGGCCTCTACTGCACGTTCACAAAGAACACATTCGCTTATCGTGATGGCCTCTACTGCACGTTCACAAAGAACACATTCGCTTATAGTAAGGGCTCTTATCCAACATTAATAATAAAGCGCTCACTTCTTTAGGGGGTCACGATTCCACAGAGATATAAGGAGCCGCTTGCTGAGGTCTTCAGGTAGGAAGTCAAAGCTGAACTGCTGGTTGAAGTGCGGACAGTTGGTGGCTCGCAGCACCGACGTCCGACAGAAGGTGCGCTCAACTTCGTCGGGGACCAGCGATAACTGCGCAACTCAACCAACGTTAATTAAGTAAAATCATTACGATTCATTGATTGAAAATAGTCAATCTTCGTTACAAATTTGAAACAACTTAATGAAGCCAAAGATTAATGTCTAGCTACTCGCTGATCTATAAATCAATGAAATTAAAAAATCCGGGCTTTGCACAGTAGAAAAACAATAGAAAAATACGGGCTTTGTTATATTAATAAAGTTTTCATACGAGATACATCAAGACAAGCACTCCTGACTCAAGCAGGTAATGACCAAATGTGTGCCAGTAATTGGAAACTTGGGGAGAATATTCTACAATGATGCTTACTTAGGTTCTGTGTTTGTTTACACTTTCATAAGGCCATAAAGATTAATTCGCACAGTTATTAGGAAATTACTTGAATGTTATTAAAAATATTCATGGTTATTTAAAACCAATTTAGTTTCCCTCGTGAATTGCGAGGGCCAGTTGTTTTCCAGGTCTATCCGGTAATAGCAGCAATGTCAATATAGAACAATGGTTTTTCGACTGACCGATAAACGAGTCTGTAAATAATATTTCATAAAAAATATTAAGGATGTTTTGTTCTTGCTCACCTTAACGTAAGGGTTGCAAACGCCTGATGACCGCGACTTGAGTTTGCGTGCTTCCATAACTGCAAAGGAGCATTGGAATTTAACATGACATTAAATTTTACCTATTTATTCATATATTTAAATAAAATAAAATATTTATTTAAATCATAAATAAAAAATTAAACTATATCGGAGAAACTTGAGGTGATTTATTCACTTGCAATATTCATTATGAAGTAAATAGAGGAAGAGAACGCTTACTGTGTATGGTGAGAAGCCCACTGTTCTCGTACGCCGCTAACTGAAGAAGACCTGAAAAATTCGATGGCAAATTTCGGTTACAGAATGAAATGAAAAAATCAAAAAATGGTTAGAAATTCGTGACCGCCTCTAATTCAGCCAGCTTCCCCTTCATGCATCATCTAATGTTTTAAATTGTATCTTTGTTCTCGAATATTCTCATCAATCTTACAATTTCCTTTCCATTATACGAGTGACCGGGTTTGAGTCACTCTGATTCCACAAATAATGTCTACTATCGTTTTCCTGCATGTAGACTCTATGCCCTCTGAAGCCTGGCACTTGATTATGTATTCTTTTTGCCGTTAGACACTAATCATTATTTTTATCTGTGCACTCATATATTCATTTACGTCACTCGGAATTATTCCAGCTTTTAATAATCGTTTCTTTTCGCCTTCGTTTCATCTGCTATGACCAGCTTCTTTGCACTGCATTCGCTACCGAGCAGCTTTTATGTCGCTCCCTCGCAAGAAAGAGTCGATCAGAAAAGACGGTTGAAGTCGTTGCCGTCTTTCATTAGTGAAACGAGGGAAGGATACGAGGGAAGGATACGAGGGAAGGAGGCGAGGGAAGGAGGCGAGGGTACGCCAGCACGTTACACCCCTCACCTGGCCTCAAATACCATTCTCTTCCCGGGCCCCAAACTCCCTTTGATGTGCGTATAATTTATCTAGAAATAACGCCTGTGGCTGCAAGGCTACGACGGAAATTGTTTCACAAAATAATATGCGAAACTAGCAAGATTATTCAAATAAAGATCATGGCGAAGAAGGAACGAGGGTAATGGCTCCCAAAATAAAATGCCTCATCAATAATATTATATTAATCTGACAGCCAATACATTAAACATTTCTCAAAAAGCTATGTTCATAACATCTCGAATCACGAAGCATCGCAGGCTGAAGTAGAGTTTTCATGCACAACATCCAAAATTCAACGATTAAAACGCAGTGCAAACGGGCTCAAATGTGAAAATATTTATAAATATAATATTCATCCGACGAAAACTAATATTCACCTAAAAATTAGAATAATTTTTATTGTTTTTATACTCGTATAACATAGGCAGAATGAAAGAGAAGCTCAGTGCTCCATTCATAGTATCGACTCTTTTCCTTCTAATAATTTCAATGAGATAGCAGGATTATTCAAGTAAAGATCATGGTGAAGAAGGAACGAGGATAATGGCTGCCAAAGTAAAATGCCTCATCAATAATATATTAATTTGACAGCCAATACATTAAACATTTCTCAAAAAGCTGATGTTCATAACATCTCGAATCACGAAGCATCGCAGGCTAAATTAGAGTTTTCATGCATAATATCCAAAATTTAACGATTAAAACGAAGTGCAAACGTGTTTAAATGCGATAAATATTAATAAATTTAATATTCATTCGACGAAATCTAATACTCACCCATAAATACGAATAATTTTTATTGTGTTTATAATACTCGTATAACATAGGCAAAATGAAAGAGAAGTGCTGCTCTCATAATATCGACTCTTTTCCTTCTAATAATTTCAATGAGTAGGATTTGAAAGGCCAAAATATTATTCGGTACGTCAAATGAAAACATATATTGTCCAAATAATTTTCAATTTCATTTCCTCGAGCGTGGACAACTTGTTTTCGATGACCAACCAATACCCGCAATATTTAATATACTAAGAAACATTGACGTAGGGAAGAAGCCGTTACAGGGAACGCTGCAGATTTCTTTCATAACTGAAAACGTCGAGTTTGCCGCGCATAAAGGCATCCTTCCTCCCGCACTTCCCAGAGCTACTTCCCCTTGCCAGGGCTACAGCTTCAAATGCCCCAGCCTGCGATCATCAACTGCCACACGTCAGACCCCAGCACCCTTCACATGTTAGACCCCTGCACCCTTCACAAGTCGGACCCCAGCGCCCTTCGCTTGTTAGACCCCAGCGCCCTTCGCATGTTAGACCCCAGCACCCTTCGCATGTTAGACCCCAGCGCCCTTCGCGTGTTAGACCCCAGCACCCTTCGCATGTTAGACCCCAGCATCCTTCACATGTCAGATCCCAGCACCCTTCACATGTCAGACCCCGGCACCCCTCACATGTCAGACCCCGGCACCCTTCACATGTTAGACCCCGGCACCCTTCACATGTCAGACCCCGNCTAAATAGATGTGTATAAGAGACAGCCCCAGCGTTCTTCGCATGTTAGACCCAGCGCCCTGCACAATAACTAAGTAACCACAACCAACATGAGTGAAGGCCATAAATAAGGCAGGCACTCATAATCATCAAAAAGAATATTCCATGCTATAAAATCTAAACCGGAAGCCCATTTGATTCCTAAAATATACAAATCATAAATTATCGCTTATATAAGCATATTCTTATATGCTTATATGCTTATATGCTCTATCGCTTATATAAGCATATTATGGTCTATATATGACGAGTCCACAAAATGAATTTATTTAGTACACTTGACAAGCACTGCCGACCACTGAATTCAAGAAGCCCACAAGTTCCACTCGAAAATTGCAAAAATTAAGAAGCCTCAAGCGAATATATACTTCAGGCGGTCTCTCTAAACTCAAAATAATTGTCACCTTTAGACATAAAGAATATTTTTCTAATACCTCAAAATCTGCCAAATGTTTCACTATTCTATGTTAGTAGAGCGAGTAACAGGCCCGGTCAATCAGTTAGCTTATTCCTAGAGCGCGAGAAACCTAGAAATAACATAAAGAAGATAGTGAAGTGTTGTGGCTGAATAGCAACACTGGCAAGCCCGTCACATACATCAAAGGATATAAATTACAATTTTTTTACAGCAATTGCATGTTATCGGACAAGCATTAATCAAATCAAACCCTAGTCGTAATAACACACAAACCCTGAACACTGAACAACATACAATATTAACAATGCAAATGTTGATTATTTTTCAATCTATGGATTGATCTTGTTTATTTTTTAATCAAACCTGTCAACAACCTCTTAATATGAACAATTTGACCACCAATTATTAATATGAATAATGCAACCGTTGGTTATTTTGCAATCGATATATGGATTGATGTGCCGTTTCTTTTTCATTTAAACAAGCCAATAACCCTTTAATATGAACAATTTTACCACATATTATTCTTCAAGCTACGAGTCGATAAGCCACATATTTCTTGCAGAATTTTCGTTACATAATTTCGCAACTAAATAACTGAGGCGTGAGCAAAGGATCCCGCGTGAGATGGGATCCTTTGGACGCAGATGGGCGTCGCGGGTCACCGCTAATGCCTGCAATTGCCAGTGAAATACGAAGCTTGGAACTGAACAAGACAAGCCGCGTGAACACGACAACTCCAGGTGACGACAGACCAGCAAATCTTTAACGGAAACCAACAGACTGAGAAGGGAGAAACTTCTAACCGTTCTTGAGTTGTCACAGAAGTGAAATATTTTCTGGTAAGAAATTATGATTCAGGCCTCATTCGTGCACTTTTCTAATAGTTTCTATCGAAATTAAGTCCAAACTGTCCATTAATTAACAAAACTAGGATCGCTCATTTTTTCACAAGGTGACATGACAGAAGTGGCTCCAACGATTCCTGCCACTTGAACTCGACGCCTGCCATCTTTAAAGGGATTTGCTAATACAATAAAAGCAAAAAGCTAAACAAATGAGAGATAAAACCGACCGCTTCTAAATCAATTGAAGCTCCTACTTTCTGCTTCCACTTCTCCGTGAAATCTAAACTATTCATTATTACGGTACATGAATGGTGAATTATGCCGCTAACATTGCAGTATTCTATAACTTTGAACGAAGAAAAAAGGACCCAATGGCGAACGTCCCGATTTCCTACTTCCGTAAACTGACCCCTAGCCTTTGATGTATCGTTAGGCGGGAACCGCACTGACTCTACCCTGAAGAAAATAATGGAACAATCGACGCCTAAAGTTTTACAGCTGTTGTAAATTGATTTACTTAACGGAAAATCAAATAATCAGCAGATAAAGATACTGCATGACAGTGTCAAGATTCGTTAGTAGGTAATACGAGCTCATTTACTTGCACTCGCTTCGGTTTGGCCTCTAATATCCATCTACGTTGTACACAAACGATGACTTGATAATGTCAAAATTAAGCGAAATAATCAGGAAAATAATGTAAAAATTACTAGCAGAAAAAAAATTGAAAGAAAAAATTCAATGATGGAAGGATATTATGAGGAACTAAATAATTCTGGAAGTTAATCAAGCAATGCACAAGAGTTGGGATACGAAACAGACTAGTGAAATAATTCCGATAATGTTAGGTTGACGGTGAGAACTAAGAATACTGAAACACAATTCGTGCATGATAAAATCATTGAGATAAAGGCAGGAAAAGAATATTAAATGCTGGCAGAAATGCATCTAAATAAAGACCAAAACATTCATTCAAAAATGCAAAATAAAATATGACATTTGGATTGGGTAGCGAGCTGCAGAAAGTAAGCTTTCATTTATAACAACAAACGAAATTTCCCAAAAATTTTTATCATATCAATGATTTTCTTTAGTGATTATTTTCAGATAGTGATTAAAATATAATATTCTATAACATTGAACAATAATGAATAGGATACAATTGAAATTTCGATATAGATAAGACAGAGTAATAGGCACGCTTGGGGCTGATAAGCAGGCACCATTAGTGATCAGATCTTGTAACATCCAGCAATCCTTTACTCTTCAATCCTTCACTCTCCAATCCTTTACTCTCCAATCCTTTACTCTCCAAAACTTTACTCAGAGGACTTGCGATCATCAGAGGACTTGCGATCATCAGAGGACTTGCGATCATCGGAGGACTTGCGATCATCAGAGGACTTTACTGCCGCCGGTAGGAACAAGTTTTGCTTATATGAAAGAATTTTCATTCATATAAGGAAATTTTCGTTTAACCGTCTGACATTTGGACGAAGCTGAATTTTCCTTTACCCTTCTCCGCATAAAACCATGCTGATTTATTGACTCAAGC